CCTCTTTGCAGATCTCGTCCAGATGCTTCAAGTAGCCTTGGACTCCCTCAGACTTGGGGTAGGTCAAGTCAATCGTCTTGACAGTCCACTCAGGATGGATGGAGGACATGTTCTTGATGGCATTGAACTCGGGGATGGACAAGATGGGGCTAGGAAGAAGCAGGCGGCCACACTGAGAAGCGTCCATCTCCAGCAGGTTACCCTGAGGTCCAACGTAGCACTCCAATGACATAACAATGGATTCTCGAATGGGGTCAATGGGCGGGTTGGTGACCTGGGCAAAGAGCTGTCGGAAGTACTCGTACAGAAGGCGGGGCGAATCGGTCAAGCAAGCCAGGGGAGCGTCGTTACCCATGGAACCCAAGGCTTCCTTTTCGTCAGCAGCCATAGGAGCAAGTAGCAAGCTGACCTGCTCGTGAGTGTAACCAAAAGCAAGCATCAATGGATCCTCCTGGAAACGAGTCTCGTCAGGCTTGGCAGCCAGGTCAAACTTGGCCTCCAAGGTCTCCAAAATCTTGGGCATAGTGATCAACTCGCTGTCGAGCCAAGAGCGGAAGTCGTATCTGTTTGAGACGGCAGCCTTGAGCTCTGCGTCGTCGATGATACGTCCAGCCTGTGTATCAACCAGCAACATCCTACCAGGCTGCAGTCTGCCCTTCTGGATGACAGACTCAGGCTCCACGGGGATGGTACCGACCTCAGAGGCACAGATGATGCGGTCATCGTCCATAACATAGAATCGGCAAGGACGAAGACCATTTCGGTCCAAGTTGGCACCGCAGTAGCGGCCGTCGGCGAATGTGAAGAGAGCGGGACCGTCCCAGGGCTCCATCTGGCAAGCAGCCCATTCGTAAAAGGCAGCCTTCTTGGGGTCCATGGAGTCGTTGCCCTGCCAGGCTTCGGGCACCATCAACATGACAGCCTCGGGCAAGGAGAGCACACCGTTGATGGTGAGCAGCTCGAGAACATTGTCAAAGGCAGCGGAATCGGATCCGCCGTCCTCGACAATGGGGTACATCATTTCCAGCTCCTCCTTGAAGATATCAGACTGCATCACACCTTCACGAGCACGCATCCAGTTCTTGTTGCCTCGTAGGGTGTTAATTTCACCGTTGTGGGCAGCCCATCGCAGCGGCTGAGCACGATCCCATGAGGGGAAAGTGTTTGTAGAGAAACGTGAGTGAACAAGGGCGAAGTGAGCCTCGTAATCGGCGTTGACCAGGTCATGGTAGTATGAGTACACCTGTACGGGAGCAAGCTGTCCCTTGTAAACAATGTTTTTGTTCGACAAAGAGCAAAGGTAGAACCAGTTGTGCAAACCAATGCTGTGAGTGGCGCGTTTCCGCAGCACGTACAGCTGTCGCTCAAAGTACCGTTCATTGAACTGGGCTGGGTCGGTGGTTTCTGGGGCATTGCCAGAACCGTACGCAGAGGCAAGGACAACGAAGGGCTGAGCAATGATGGGCTCACGAGACTTGGCCGCAGGGCCAAGCAAGCTGGAGTCGACAGGAGGCCGTCGCCATCCCAAAACCCGCAGACCCAACGATTCGGCAACATCTTCCAGTTGCCTCTTGGACTCTTCAAAGGTCTCTTCGTCGGGCTTGAAGAACAGGTTTCCTACGGCATACTGACCCAGAGGAGGCAGCTTAATGTTCTCCTCTCTCTCGAAGTTCTTGATGAAGAACTTGTGTGGGATGGATGTCATCACACCAGCACCGTCGCCATCTCGGGCGTCGGATCCCACAGCACCACGATGGGTCATATTGCACAGTAGGTTTCGTGCTGTCGAGAAAAAATTAGCGATTTGTCTCCCGGATATCACCAATTTCTCCTTTTTCTTGGTTTATTAGTAACTCACCATCGCTAACAATCTTGTGGCTTGCCTTGCCCTTGATGTGGCTAGAATTGGCAAGTTAGCAGAGCTGCACTATACTATCCGGAATGTACGCCAGAACAGAGGACGATGAGGAAGAGCAACTCACCAAGCAAAGCCTACACCGCAAGCATCTTTTTCATAGGATGGGTCGTAAAGACCCTGCTTCACCGGCAGGGCACCAGCCCATGAGTCATTGTTCTTGTCCTGATACTCATACGGGTGGTATTCCTCCTTTTCAGCGTCTAGATGAATTTGTCGGTCGTCGAAATCCTCGAGATAGCCCATGCTAGGCGAGGATCCGTTTGCTAAATATTGGTCGGGTACGATTGACGAGGGAGCCTTCGCTCACGGCTATGTCGTATCGTAGCGTTGAAAAGTGTATATCTGCGCTCAGCACAGATCTGAAGAAGCAGTCTGGAGTTAGTCTACGGCCCACAGAAGCTGTCAATGAGGTGTCGAGAAAGAGGAATTGACGGATGAATAGCGCCCAGGATGATAAATAAGACGGGAGCATAAATAATAAGGATGCGGGCAATGCGGGGAAAAGAAAGATGGGAGAAGTGATGAAATTCCAAGGCTGTGTGTGACTGGGTGACGGCCTCCGCTGGTGCCGGATTGTCATCGCTGGATGAGCAGCACAGCTAAAAAGAAGCTTCAATGTACACCAAGACAGGGCTGCGAACGCCTATGCGACAGCCGGCAACAGTGGGTGGGGACCCTGCCTCGGCGCTGCAAGGGGGGCTTGTCTCACTGTGACTTAGCACTGGCAGCCCTAAGCCCCAGCAGACGAATCCCAATTTTTAAGCGTTTGCGCGGCCAACAGCATGTGAGACGATGACGCTGGCGTCGGGACTTTCCCCCACGATGCCCCTCATGCCCACAAAAATTTGCCCATTGCGTCCGCTTGGCGCCCGTGTCTCAGACCAGCCCGGGTCTCTTGCGCAGTCGACATGAAGAGCTGCTGCAGGTCGCCGTCATCGGCAGAGAAGAGGCAAATGAGGCCAGGTTGCTGGGTGTTTTTCCTTTCTTGCCTCTTATTTCTGCTGATATTGCAAAGGGGAAATGGTAAAAGCATTGCATTGTAGGCATAAAATATTGCACCAGCGGAATTGCACAAGGCACCACGAAAAGCGAGATTGGCGAAAGTCGCCAGGCCCAATCGATCAGCCCAGAAGAGAAGTTGAGAGTTTGGGCGCAATAATGAGAGCCAAACGGCGAAATTTGGAGTCCAAAACAATGTCTTCCAATTCGCAATCATCTCGAATTATTCAAACGCCTCTCTCAAATCTCATTTTTCTCCTCCTCTTTCTCTTCGGCAGTCGTAGTTCTCAGCCGCAATTGAGTTCAAACAGAGTCTATCATCGATTTTGGTGGTTTGCGGGCCATCCGCAGAAGCCGCCAGAATCCTGATAACCTGGGCGACTATTTTTTTCGACTTCCCCATCTCGCAAAAGTAGAGTTGGCGCCAGCAGACGCAGCGAACCTTGTGTGTGGACTTTCGCACTTGCTTTTGGGGTAAGGAGGCTAGGGACTGGAGGGAGATTTGGAGAACGACATGGCGGGAGATGGGAAGAGGCGTCAGCGTCGAGCAACTTACCGGCTTATGAAGTTCAAGTGGTATCAATGAGACGCTTTGCGCTCTGGGGGCGTGAACAACGAGCCACAAGGGAGAGTAGAAGAGAAGAGAGCGAGAGAAAAAGTGAAGCAAGCAAAGCAGAGCAAAAGAGAGGGGGAGGGAGGGAGGATGGGCAGAGGAGAGCCTTTATTATAGACAAAGGAGGCGTCCAGAGTCTCCAGTCGTCCGAGTCTATTGCTCAACACTTGGCTCTCTGCCAAGGCATGGATCTCAAGGAAGTGGTCCGAGCAGAATGAGTGTTCGTACTAGCAGCCGCAGAGCAGAAAATAATAGTACATGTCAAGCGGCATGCTAGTCGCTTTGTGATATAGACCCGGACGACTAAAACACCAAGTCGCAACCGACAGTGGGGGGCTGGAGAGCACCAACGCCTGAAATGCGGCGCTGTGAGTGGTGCGGCGCCTCCCAGCGACGAACTGGCATTGCTTTTTATGCGGGCCGATCTGCCCCTCCACCGAGCACATGTCAGAAAACACCGCAAGCTCCGGGGGGTGCGCCAATGGCAATTTCCCTGCGTCTTTGGCTGTATTCATGCCATGGTGCCTCGATTCGTCGAGGGAATACGGGGACGCGGGATGGGAGGTTTCATTCGCTGGTAGCACAGCGACGGCGCCGATGCGCGGAGACAGGCCCCTCCAAACCCAGCAATTATCGTCTCTCGCTGATGTCAATCGGCTGAAGCTGCATCCAAGGCCGCGCGCTAGCCTCAGGTTTGCAGGCAAAGAACTATTACTGCCTGTACAGTAATATCGCTAGTATAGTAGTACGGCAAGCACTATCATGTTGGTTTATACGCTGTATGTCGTAGTGTTGCCGGCAGACTCGCATCTGATGGATCTCCGGCCGAGTGCGTCACCCCCTCCTACCGCGGCGACAGAGGCAAAAAATGGCCCTCGGCTGTATACAAACCCAATTGCTAAGCATCACCTTTCGCACCCAAACCCGATCCTCTCCGACAGCAAGGAATGCAGTCGGAATGCGTTGAGGCTTCTGTTATTTTGGCTGCGTCTAGAACGCTGCTATACGTAATACTAGGCCTCAGGCACCGGCAGCTCCATCGCTGACTTATCCCGATTTCCCAATTGGGCTATCGATTACCCTCAAAAACCAAATTATTACCCCCATAAAACCATTTTATTACCCCCATGAAACTCGCTGCTGTATTTACATTACCCTCAAATTACTTGCAAAAATATGAAAATTTTCTAGCGGAACACGCGGTGTTGAGGCCAGCATGTCAACATGGATTGGTAATTTCCCAGGGCAATAGTTGCGAGCACAACGGTCGGCTGCACCAGGCAGCTTTCCAAGTCCGTCGCTTCTTCTTACAGCCGCCAACCAGAGGCAGGCCCCTCCCTTCAATCTTCGCCTCATGGTTTGCTGTCACAGTCACAAGCGACGACTAATTCCCGGCCCTCTGGTTGGCTCCAGGCAAGCTGACGCTCATCTCAGCGCCTATCTAGATGGCCAGATGGCTAGCAGCAGGCTTATCCAGTCGTCGAGAAATTCGGTTTGCAACATGCTTTGTGTAAGAGAAATCTGAGAGGGCGAGAAGCTAATATTGTCCGAATGCGGCAGGGTTTCCTATTCAACCCCACAGCATCTCTGCTACCTTGCAAGGATTATCCCAGACTCCAAGGTAGGGACCCTGCGACCGATGCACACGAGGATCTGTGGCTGACGGCTTGGAGCTTAGCTGCGCAGCCAATCACACGCGGCCCTTTTCCAAATCCCAGTCGCTGCGTGGCCGATGTCGCGCTCAAGCTTCAACGCCAGCGAAGCATGCTCTTCAAGGACGGGGACCCTAAAGTGGCACCGAGAGATTTGGCGTCCGTGAGAGAGACCCAGCAAAGGAATTGATCTCAGCACCCGTTGCAGTCTACTCAAACAGCGCCATTGTGAGGCGATTGGTGCGAGATTGTGTTGAGACAATGGCAGTCCCGCCAAAAACCTGGCGCCATACACCCATCAGCCTGTGATACCTCACGTCGTCATGGCCACACGTGCCACAGTCCTTCAGCCGTGCTTTGACATGCCTAAACGGAAAGGTTGGTTGCAGTTTCTGGATGCAAGATGGATAAGATGAGGTGTGCAAAGCCGGGGCTGGGCATGCGCGATGCAGACACCGACCGGGGGCGCTGGGCCGCAGATGGTTTTTATGGATTTTGCCCGCGCCAGCGGCGCCATGTTCGAGACGGAGAGGCCAAAAGGGACAGCGCGCAGCTGGAAAAGAAACCTCGCCAGCCAATGAAGCACAAGCGCTGTCGATACCTGCAGCACCAGCGTGCGTAGCGCAGCAGAGACTCGATTATGGCGACCCTACTCTTGCGATGCACCCCCATCTGGCCCGCTGCAGCATTCTTGCAATCTGGCGAGCGCAGGCAAGTATGTCGACCCATTCTCTGCGCGTGGTGGTGGTACTTCGGCCGTGCTCACTCAAAAAATCGACATCAGAAAACTGGCGCCTGCAGCCAATCAGCATCCCAGCCGCGGGCCTGTCGCCCTTATCTCAGGCCAACCAAGATTGCCGGCCCGTTGCCCGAACCTTCAACGCTACTGATAGCGGCAATAATAGCCTGGAGCTACTCGAGACTGATACGAGCCATCTCGCCACAAGGCGAAATGGTCTCGTTTCGAGACATGTTTTCTGCTACCTTACTTTACTGTGCCACCTAATACATGTAGTGGCAGAGCGGCTGTAGCCAAACAGCCTATTGTACTCCTATGGTTGCACTCACACAAGGCATGGTGACATCCGAAATGAGGTGTTGGCCCTGCTACTTGCGCGTACCCCAGAGGTGCAACCAGTTGTACTCCTACGAGGCTCTCTGTTTAAAGACGACAAGCTTCAGCCGCAGACGCCAACTACAGCCACAGAGGACACAGCCAGACGGTACGAAACAGCTTCACTAAGGAGACGACGGATCTCTCAAAGTTATGCTACCAACCGCCGCTATAGCTGCCTGCTAACCCGGGATTAAGCCAGCCACTTCCAGGTGAGGTAATATTTGGATGCCTGTAATCCAGAACGTGTCAACTTGGCTGTGTTGAAGCCCACTCCTCTCCTTGCGTGCATCGTGCATTCGTTGCTTAGGACAAAATGCAACGGCGTCTACTCGTACTAGTGCTATTTATTCCGTCATCTAGTCCCTAATTAACCAGGGCCTATTTTCCCGAACCAGATGGCGGGGCTTTGGGGTGTGCGTGGTGCTCGTGGTGTGGCCCGTATCCCAGATCACTGGTGAACTCCATCACAGATGTGCGGACGCCTTTAAGAATCTTATAAATACCAACGCGGAGAAGTCTCTTTGCGGCAGCAGCAAAATGTGAGATGGAACGTTGGTGAAGTATGCCCACTACCGAAATCGGCCATTGTGCTGCTGGCGAAGGCTGCGTGAAGATGCTGATCCTGCCGCCCAGCCCTTCGAGCATATACAAGCAGCAACAACTGACTCGAAACGGAAATTTGCCCGCTGCTTTGTCGTACGACTGTCTAAGTCGCCGAAAGAGGAGCTCCTGGGAAATTCATTCTATGAATACGCTGATCCAGAGAAATTAGGACAACAGGCTGGGCATTGCATATTAGTGTTTTTCGGACGGATTATTGCTCGGCCTTTACTAGGCACATGTGCCTATTTTAAATCCATCTGCCTTACTCATCGACGCTGTCCCTCGCATTACTCCGGCGAAATTCCGCCTGTTACAGCCTGCAGTCCGTCTGAACGCTTGGTGGTTCACCGAAGGCGGAGTTACAGACGACAGCCCCCCATGTTGCGACTTTCCACAGCAGGAAAAATAAGGATGGGGGTCCGCTGGTCATCCCGAAATCTCCCGATATCCACTCTGATGGAGGAGGGCTATTCTATGACTCTTTGTCTGAGAAAAGCGCCGAGAAGAGGACCAATACACAAGGAGCATTTAGAATGGCCTGTTGTGTCCGATTGGCCTTCAAGTCATCTCAAGTGCCAGCACTCCAACTGTCGAGTGAATGACAAAGCTGCTGGCTTGACAGTGATTCTCCCACAGGTGTGGGCGGAGCAAAGCCCTATTATGAAAGTTTAGACAGCCAGCTTCCAGAAGCATTCCAGAAACATTCAGTAGCACTCTGCCGAACCATTCGGCAGCCCTATCTCAATACCTATTTGCTGCGATGGCATATGAGATGATTCGTAGTGGCTTAAAGCGTTGTCCTGTGACTACTCGTATAGATTGCTGCGCACTCTTAGAGCGCGCTTAAGCTTTTTAGACGCTCCAAGCGCGCTGCGGGGCTAAGCCTATCACGGCCCGTATTTATCAACAAATGCTCAGCTTCACAATCCACAGCTCAGCATTGATAACTTATCGGCATTTGCGTTCTGATGCGCCTCAATGTTTACAACACTGCCGGATTTCACGCCGCGAGATGTAAGGATACCTTGGCCATCATTCGTTCGCACCAAACCTAGGCGCTGACCGTTAATCTTATCGTGGTAGTCGCACTCGCTGTGGTACTCATCCTCTAGGAATCCTTTCATTCCCCCAGGGCCAGTCGATCACCTACACGCGGATCCGAACAGCGGACACCACCATGGTCCGACACATTCACGCCAGCGTGGGCAGCTCATGGAGCGAACACTGCTCGCGCGCCTCGCTGCGGACGAACAAAAGATGCACCGACGTCGAATGAATGTACAGAACTTTGGAAGCACTTGGCTGAAGCCCCCTGGAGTTCCCAAGACTCTACATCAAATGCGAGAGGAGAAGCGCGAACAAGAGGAACACCAAGAAGCTATGAGGAGAGAGCAACTTGCTCAGGAACTGGCAGAAGCTGAAGGTGGCGGCACGATGGACGACGGCATGATGGACGACGTACAGCTTGATGGAGCGCAAGATTTGGACGATGAGATTCCCGATGCGGACGATGCTTTTAACCCAAGCAGCGACGATAGCGAGGAAGAAGACGATGACGATGATGAGGATGTTGAGGACGACGAATACTACGAACAGGCGTTGGACGAACAGGAGGTCTACGAAGATACCGTACGACAGGAAACAGAGTATGAACTAGAAGCCGCCCGTATGAGGATGACAGACGACGCCTTCCGAGAAGCCCTCGTCCGCGGCGACCCAGAAGCAGACGGCAGTGTGTATGGCGGCGCAGAAGAAGAAGAAGACGAGAGCAGGAGCCAGATACTTGACGAGGACGATTTCGCCCAGGACGGCACCCTAGACGATGGAATGGCGGGCGACATGGATGCTGACCTCGACGATGATATCCCCGATGCAGATGACGGTGGCTACGAGCATACCGACTCCGAAGCCGAGGTTAGCAGTAGCGCTCAGTACGGAGAGGAAAACGATGACGAGGAGGAAGCAGGTGATACCACCGACCTCAGCTTTGTGCCAGCGCGCTCTACGCTCCTTGAAACCCCTGGTTCTCCTACACTACCTCGTCAAACGGGTTCTCATACTAGGTCGCGCGTAAGCATGGATCTGAGTAGCCTGCTGTTGCAGGACGAGAGCAGTTTTATGACCCCGATAGCAAGTAGTCCTGCTGCGGCGAGGCGGAGGCAAGGTCAGCGGAAATAAGTTTATTGTTATTAATGTTGTTATTTGGTTTTGTTGTATGTTGTAGGAAGGATGGAAAACATAGCTTAGATACCCCTGTCATTATGAAACGTGTTGTATTTTCTTGAGGAGAAAGTTTACTATTAGAAACTTCAGCAAAGAATCCAGTTTAGTGCTCTGGATCGTTATTTCAAATGGATGTAATGGCGTAGATGTTTGTGAGAAATGTGAATACATATGAAAGACAAATAATTGTAGCCCTAGTAGTAAGCCTCTTGATGATATTAAAATGATTTACATAAATAGCTCTTAGCCTGTATAAAAAAAAATTCCACTCGCTTTTATTTCACAGTCAAGACCTCCCCCTTACAAATCATGCAGCTCATTGTATTCCTTTGCGAGAGAGAAAGGATAATCAGAAACGGCAGCAAAAACTCGCCCCCCAAAAAACGCCAACCCAAGATGCACCTTTGTAAAAAGAAGAAAATTGTCTTCCAGAGAAAAACCAGAAAGAAGAAGCAGAGAATATGCACTGTTTTTCTGCTCGCAGCCACGGGGACTAGGACAGAAACGTCATCGTATCGCGTGAATACCGTATAAGAAAGAGGGAGAAGTATGTCGTGGGCCGAAAACAAGTAGAATGCATTTCCACCGCGCCACTTCGTATGATTCGAACTTGAGAATTTTTTTTTTTTTCAGTTCGTTCTCTAAAACAGCCACACGTATATGAACAGCATGGCGACGGCGAAGAAGAAGAGCAGCCACCACTTCCAGCTGACGCCGCTGCGCTGCGCCATAATAAGCATGCGGTTCATGGTGCCGCGGAGGCGCACGCGCGTCGAGTCAAAGGTGTCGTTCATCTTCTCGGCGAGGGCGGAGGACTCGCGGATTTCGTCACCAATTGCGACGGTCATCTATGTTTTGCGCAAAAGCAAACATTGTGTTAGCAACGGCCCAATGTATCTCTTTTTGGAATGTCTTCTTTAACCCTCTCTCTCCTGTTCTCTCCTCTAGATATGCCAAAGATAGGATAGTGCCCATGGCCTGACTTACGTCCTTTAGGACCTTGACCTTGCCCAGAATGCCCGCCACCTGCTCATCGTTCTGGCTCTCCAGCTCGTTCAGCACCGCGTCGCTGTACTGCCCCTTCTTGTTCGGCGTCGCGGTTCGATATGCGCTGGAAGGGGTGCCGCCGTAGGGATTTCCATTCGAAGGGGAATAGCTGTTGTAGCCGTAACCTCCCCCTACGCCGGCGCTGGGAGAGGGAGACGGGCTGGGTCGTCCTCGCTGGGATTGATCGCCCGTGTAGCCTGCGAAGAGGGCGCTGCGCGAGTCGCGCTGGTGGAGAGTCGAGGCACCGAATCTATATATTTGAGATTATAGAATGATTAGCCCGGACGATCTCGTCTTGCAGATTGCCTTGGGGGAGGTGGAGAGGCGGCAAGGTGGCAGTCGTCGAGCGCGCGCGCACATCGTTGGAAAGCTGCGTTCGCGACTAGATGTTCGAATAGGGTAGGTTGAATCAATGACTACTCACCTTTGCGACATGATGATGATATACGTAGAATTCACGCAGCTGCGGTAGGAAAAGAAAAAGAAAAAACAGCGTATAAAAAGGGGGTTATACGAAGAGAATGAAGTGGGCTCTATGATCGTCACTCCTGTTGAAAAAATTAAATGCCCCTTGGAAGAAGTCGCAGTATTATATGTAGTCGTTTTTTATGGCTTAGGTGGTCTTGACCATGTCCATCGAGAGTGGCGTTAGTAACTTTTCGAGAGGACTAGGGGGGGAGTACGTACCCAGCCACTGTGGTGGCGGTTAACCAACCAGCGCTCTACGTGGCTTGAATTGGGCAGGGCACGTTTTTCTGTGAGCATGGTTTTGAGGACGTCCAAAGAAGAGAATCCTTTGAAATCCGGCCATGCACAGCAGTTATTTGCCTAAAATCCACATTCTTGGCGAGCTCCAGCCTGTTCAGCTGCATCGCCTCCAGGGTATGTGCCAGAGCCTAAACAAAAGACAAGGTGAAGCTTAAACGCACCGGTGGGCCACATTTACTCGAGTGTGGGGAATGGCGGGATGCTGCACAGGACAAGGCTCCAGGAACGCGAATGCCAACAGACAGTGGATGGCCTCAATGGCAGCATGTGCATGCAATTTTTAGCTACCTATCTCCGTTCCCTCAAACACCGCATGGTATATAACACGCCCAAATATGTAGCAAATAGCGGCCTCTCATCGTTACATGACCCCCGGCTTAAATACCCAGATCCCGCTCGATGGGCTCCCCGCCTACCTGCGCGGTGAAAATCTTGGCGAATCCATAAACATTAACGTCATAGACATGATGGGCACTTGGTTGTACCAGAGAGTTAGAGGGCGACTATCTTAGCCCTCCATCTCGGTGTCCTCGTTGGGGGGGTGGAAGTCGTCGTCGTCTTCCTCGTCTTCATCGTCGTCCATTGGGGTCTGCTCAGCAGCCCTGGCGTAGTCAATCTTAGCACCGCGAGTGCGGCGTCCGCCCTCAACAATGTTGTTCAGGTCAATCTCCTCCAGTCCATCCTCATCTGGTTAAAAAGGTTAGACAGTCAAAACTTCCCTGGAGAGAGAAATGGTAAAGTGGCGGATGTTTACCTGGCTCAGCATTCTGCCCAAGCGTGTTATGTTAGTTACCTGACAATGCAAACAGTAATGGCATGAGACTGAATGGCCTATTGACTCACATCCTCCTCAAGTTCATCCTCGTCATCGTCATCGTCATCCTCGTCGTCGTCCTCATCCATGGCGGTGGCGTGGGGAACATCGTCCTGAGTGGCCTTTCCTTTGCCCTTGCTCTCAGCAAAGGAATCCTCAGTGTGAGGGTTGGTGACTCCAGTTCCGTCAGACATTGTGAGCACAGATATCTCTGCGAGAGTGCGTTGGTAAGAAAGAAGTGTGGGAAACGGTTGTGAGATGAATTGGCCTCGAGGAGAGTGAACGGTGAGTGCCTTGGTAAGTATAAGTAGGAGAGAGTGAACCTGAAGTGGACCGGGTTCTGCTCCAAGCTGTTTTTTGGATCGAGGAGCTCACCAATTGAAAGGCGTCGCTGAGCGTGTAGTAATCGAACTAGTCCATTTTAGTACTAGTAGGCATTGCGGTTTGTTTGTATCTGCCAGTCACGTGCGTGCATCTGGATCAAGATCTATGGTTGCTGGGTAGAAAGACATGGGTGATACAGGCACGGAGTGGGTAGGTAGGTAGGGCAATCGCTGCTGGGTGGCTGGAGGGTGGGTGAATGGGTTATGAAATGCAATATCACTACGGAGTACCTATTCTAGCATCGACTAGGTAATCGAGGGGGTGATGGGTACGATGGACACATAGGACTGTGTTGACTTTGGCTGTTTTAGATATCAAGATGCAATGGCAAAGTCTCAGTCGTAATGAGATTAGGTAGATCATAGAAGTTGCGCTTCTGTCAATGGCCGCAAGCCAAGAATTTCATTGCTTAAATTAATGTACGCGTGAATTGTCAACTCTATTTCTCGCCTCCTCCACTCATTGCCAGGAACACCACAATGCCAATCATCCACCAATACCTGTGTATGATTAGGTTTACAAGCCGCTCCAGGGAGGGGAAATACGACGTACTTTTGCAGGAATGTCTTCTCCTCTTCCTTAACCTTCTTGCCCTCTGGTGAGAGTACGATAGGCTTGTTCAGTTCTGGCTGCTTGCCCTTGAGCGCTGGAAGCACAACAGCTTGTGGTCCAAAGTCTCTCGTCTGGCCTGCATCGATCTTCACTCCCTTCAGCGCGGCGCTCAAGACTTCTCCATTCTCATCGATGGACAATATCAAATTGGGAGAGAAGCCCTTGCTGAAATTGTCCACCGAAGCAACAGTCGTGCCAGATATCCACGTCGAGGACTTTGGGTCGTACAGCCCTACACGGACCAGCTGTGTGGACTCAGGGATTTCAGGAGCTTCGTAGGAGATGATAGAGGAGGATGTGGTAAGGCTGGGATCGTATGCGAGCTCTGCAAGGAGGGTGGGTGACTCTGAGTTTTCGACGGGCTGGATGTAGATCTGCGCCGTGTGAAAGTTGGCCTGGACAAGAGCCGCGGCGCACAAGGCCGACAAGAAAGCTATGCCGCGCATGATGGCTGCACAGAAGAGTTGCAGCGTGGAGCGAATGGCGGAGAAATCGGACTGCTGAAGGTCAAGCTGAGGTCTGCTCAGGGACCGCACAATGCCATTAGCTGGCCTTGATTGCGATAAGGTAGGCGGTAGTGGAGCAGCTGCGAGGTACCTTGCTCAGCAACCGGATACGGAGAGGTACCTGGCGGATGGAGAAGGTGGGTTTCTCCAGCACGTGCCGCGGCCCCAACACGGGGACGTCATAGACTGCGGCATCTAGAATGCAGATTCCATCTGCAGAGAAGTACAGACTGGCCAAGCACGCATATGCCTCTATTATTTCTTGCTCATCTTTGTCCCCAACAATGAAGTTTCGGCGTGTGGCAAAGAAGGCAACCTTTTGAACGAAACCCCTTCCGTGCTACTAGCGAGAATGGCATGGCCAACAGAGCCACCCTAAGCTGTTCATGGCTGGCTTAGCAGCTACTGCTGCTGCAAGCACACACCTACGAGCAAGACGCATCACGATTTGTCCCAGCATCCCAGCCATCAGCCAGCAGGGCGGTCGGCATCCCGTGTTTACCGCCTCAAAAACATGGGATATCCCTTCAGCAGTGATCATGGGGTAATGGGCCCCGGCCTCTCCTCGTCATCCTGCCAAGTGGCTGCATGCACACGCCCCTTTCAGCTTGCGTTCGCCGCAAAGATGGCTTGGCTTAGAGCCAATAATGTGTGCCAACTGATGTGCCATCACTGCTCTCTCGTCGCACCATACTCATGAGTCGCTCTATTGGGCTGCAATGAGCGCCCCAAGGATTCACCCTAGCCTGCCCTGCATATATGAGAAGGCTTCCTGTGGATTCGTAGGCTGATTTTTAGCTGGAAAAAATAGCTGTTGGAATCACATCGCTCACCAAGTAAGCAAGATCGCGACATTCTACACCGCAGATAGACATCGACACCCCCCTAACGCCTGGATTCCGAGGTGATTCTGTGGCCAACAAGCGTGGTCGTCAAACAGAAATACGCCCATGACCCGTAATCTCCCGCTTGACTTGGAGCTGATTTGTGGCTGGCAAGTGCTGGTCTAAGGTTGGATAGTTTGATTCTAACTTGCCTCTCTTCTATATAGCGATGATCGTGAGAATCATACCTGGACTCGTCCAGAGCATTGCATTGCTATACCAATGCCACACTAGCGCATGTTTATCCACAGTCGGGCAAATTTAGAAAAAAAAAATTGAAGAGAAGTAAAGCTACTTGCGCTGCAACTTTGCGTATGGCAAAGATATGTTGATGGTATATTGATATTGATGCTCTGAAAAAAGAAAGTACATGATCTGGTGCTATCAACTATTAAGAGCCGATGGCGAGAAGAAAAACAAAGCAAAAACAAATAACAATATATATCTGCATTAAGGGACAAACAAGTAAAAAACACCACAAGAAACTTCTTGCGAAAAGCTTCGCTCTTACTGCGCAGTCTCCGTCTTTTCATAGCCCATGAGCCCAGCTATTTGAGAAGCTGCAAAAGTCTCCTATACTCTTCATAGCCCCTTATCCATATAATCCCGAGCGAGGCATATAGAGGCGTATACGTCTATGACGGCGGGTAAAACGCGAAGTAAGACTGTGGTCGAGTCTTGAACAACCCCCCCCAAGAGCACAAGAGTGACGAATGTTGCCCTTGTTGTCTGTGACAAGTATTTGTCTCTCCATTTCGGCTGACTGAAAAGACGAAGCATGCAGTACCAGTGTATAAATGTTGTCGTTGCGATCAGCACCAGGAATATTTCGCAGGGATGCTCTTGATCGTCAAACACAAACAAGTGCTTTCGATGTCGCAGCGCGACGGCGTTACATATCTATCGTCATCTCAGCTCAGAGCGGTGGAAATGGTTGGAAATGAATGCCTGTTCCTACTGGATATGTCCTCAAACATCCCTCATTCTCAGATCCTTTCCTGACTTGCTCTGGGATGATGTTTAGAGTCGCTGTTAACCCCCAAGCAGCCAAGGTATGGCATATGGAATGTCCATAATCATCATGGTTTGCCGTATGAATGACGGCTGTGCGGACTTCTGTCGCCCGGACGGTCTGTTTATGCGTTGTAGCCGCTGGGTAAGAGATGTCTGTCTCATGGCGTTCAAACATAGGCCTAGAAAACGTATCGACGGTGGGCTTTATATACTAAGGCTGGATTTTTTTTCTCATTGAAAGATGATAGAAGATATATTGCACAAAAATTTGGTAATGTACATTGGATGTCGCAAAGAAGAAAAAGAAGAGGCTAACGTATTACCTCAATCACCAGGCCTCCGTACGAATACACAACAAGTGCAAGATTGTTTGGGGGCCTTGCTGGAATACCCCTCATTTCCTGTAGGATTCGAAGCCAACCATGGGCCATGGGAGTGAGGCGATCACCCTGCCGTCTCAGCCACCGCGCCAAGTCTAGTTGCACTTACACCATTTGGTCCATTATATCTTGACCGCGTACCACACCATATACTCGTACTTCATCATGGTGGGCATCCAACTTATTTCAGGAGGCTGGGAAAGTAATGCGAGACGAACTGCTTTGGGATTACCCCCTTCCAACCGCCATCCAACCCGCCATTGACAGACCCGCCATCAAGATTCCCGCCTACCAGACACCCAACTACAAGACACCCGCCTTCAAAACACCACCCCTCCCCCATCTCTCCGCTCTCGGGCTTTATGTTGGCAACGAAATAATCTCTGACCCATTTTCAATCTCTCGTTATCAACGTCTCCCTTTCATTTTCACTTTCACCTTATTCGAACCCTCCTTCATATCCAGAAGAACATCCTCCATCTCCCATCTAGCCTCGCTTCTTTATTTCCATCTTTTTATCGATACTATTCTTCATATCTTCTCTGGATTACCTCACGTATAAACTTCATCCCTCTGGTTCGTTGCGTTTCACATTCCATCGTTTGTTTGCTTGTTTTAAGAGTAGCATAATCTGTATCACATTTGTGAGATCTCTTCAACCTTTTCATCTCTCGTAACCTTGTTTGATCTTCAGTCTTCGGTCTTCTTCACAATAGCAGTCAAAACGGGATAGCTTGACCAACATCTGCGATGGTCTTTAAACAATGGTTATTGCAGATCAATATTTCTCTCTCGGCGCTGGTCCTCCTACCGGGAAGCCAACAAAGTTATTTTTCCTGGGCGCCGGCGGCGACATTTTCGTGAGTATCCATCGCTTCGATTCTACTTACTTCACGGCTTGTCTAATCCTTATGATCTAAATAGAATACTGGCCGCGTGGGTGATTACTGGACTTTCTCTCGCTTTTCTTCACAAGCGATATCTTCTAGAGTAAGTTGGTCTGTGTGGCTATTACTATTCACACAACGGAAAATAGCGATAGATTGCCTAATATTTACTGTAGAAACCCTCGGATGACGGTATATTTGACCTTGCAAGTGTGGTTACCATTTTTGATGGTGCTACAGCCGCCGCTTGCAGAAGCCATCCTCCTGTTGCCCATCTCAATCACAGCCGTCATGATATACCTGGCAGCACCGCGGGACAATCAAAATCTAGAAAATTTACAGCTTCCCATTCCAGTTCCTGGGCCGCGGGGCTTACGATACCACCGGCACCCCCAAGCCAGTCTCCCATTAGGTGGCCAGAATCTTTGATGAAGTATCAAAAAGCTTCCTATCACTCCAAAACCCTGGCAGACGAAACTCATCATTATTATGGCGATAGAATTTCCAAGGCCGCACACCAACGATCTATACGGAGCCAATCTCCGCTTCAATTTACCCAGAATAATTTCAATTCTCTGGTTAAGGGTATATATGCCGGGTTTGTTATGGTTGAAAGCAAGTGTATAGAGGTTGACAAAGAGCAAGTCTCGCAAAATGAGTCGAAATTTGCTCTAAATAACAGAAACACATACAATCTAATCGCCCTGCAGAGCACTCTTCTCCACGAGCATCATGACTTTTTTCTTGCAAGCCGGCATCCTACGGTAAACCCGGCTCTGCGGTGTCTGGCATCAAAATATGCAATGCCAGCCTGCATGTGGCGGCACGGCATACATACGTTCTTGGAGCTGCTCCGCCATAGCATACCTTACTACATGGAGCATATGCTTACCTTTATTTACGTTGCCTATACTATGATGGCTCTCCTATATGAGACTGTTCCTACCCTTGAGGACACTTGGACTAAGTGCCTAGGAGATCTGGGTAGTTATCGAATGGCGATTGCGGATGACGACATTCGAGACCGAGTGTTCTGGTCATACGTCTCTTGACCATGGTACTATATATCAGCTGAAGGCGATGCTCTTCGTTGCCGAGAAATCTGGGCCGCCGTCTCTCGTGTTTGGTATTACAAGGCCGCCAACCGCGGGCCGCCTGCACCATCACATGGCAATACTGACGCGGCCGAATGCTATACAGCAGCTATTCTATTACCGAAAGGTTGTCTAGTTTGTCAACCCCATACGCCATCAAGGATATAAATCCAACATATACGGCTGCCGTCGGTCTTCTGGATTGCTACGGTCGCTCGTCACCGACTCGGCTGCCTGACGCCGCCTTTATAACAGCGCATGTCCTCTTAGTTTTTTCCGAATTCCGAGTTCGAAAGAGTAGTAATGATTACTCTATCCACGCTCTATAACAGCCATTGATGCCGATAACATAGCCAACTGCCTACAGCATATCCGCCTGTCATGAAGTCTTATAACTTGAGCGTCTAATCTGAAGATGCGAATATCCTACCGTACTTTTTCACATACATTTTGCTTGCCATCAGCACCTTCTATATATCACCAGGCCAAGTCCATACGAACTTCTTATCGCCTTACGTCTATCTTCAGGCCAGCGTCGCAGCTTGTTGGGCCGTACCTGCAAAAAATTATCAATCTCATTGACGATGGCTACCGATTTAACCCTGTTAGTTAAATCAAGCCTACTATTACTACCAAAGGGACGAAATATCACTTTTCCCCAGAGGACTACACTTTGCGTGGCTTAATATCAGCTCGGATGGTTTCAGGGCGGCCACTTTGATGGCAATATGCTGTCGACGAAGATGAGAGAATGTTAGAAGTACCCTCAATGTCCGAAGTGAGAAGTGAACGGTCTCTGCGGCCACCTTGTCTAAGAAACGCTTAGATTCGACACTTGGATGGCTCTATACTACATTGCAGCCACTGTTGAAAACCCTTCCCGAAGACCTTTACCATTTGTCTGCCTTTGAAGCTAGACGCGGCATACCCGTTTATGCTATGATACCAGAAAACCTCACATCAACGTGGCATTTCCTTAAACACTTGAAAGCCATGTCCTACACACCGCATGGCTCTCCTACGATACCGAACCGCAGAGTTTTCATGACGACTTCTTGACTAGCCTTTTTATACCTCTATGCTTGCCATGGACATAGAATCTACTCTTCATAACATGAGCGCCGCCAAATGATAGAACACGATGATTCAAAATCATCGCCTTTACGAATATTGCATAGCATAGCGCTGCTGGTCTCTTGCGCATCTTTTCTGCGCAGAGATGCATCACAGAACTAAAGATGAAGAACAATTTTGCGCCTTTTCAACACTACTCTCGGAAATCCCGAGGATTGAAGTTCTGATACCGCTTGTTGGCGTTTGGCATTACCAGCTATTGACTTTTTTATTTTTATTTTTATTTTTATTTTTATTTTTATTTTTTTATTTTTTACATCAATTGAGAGATACGCAGCTCAGGGCTGCACTCATGAGCGGCTAGCTGTTTTTTCCTTCCCCTCCTGCTATTCAAGATGATTTGCAAAAGTATATAAAAGACTCTAAATTGTATATAGCTTTTTGAGTACATACTCCATTAAGAATCTTAATTTGTATTTGGTACAGAGCATGAATAGCGTGTTAAAGATTTCGATTTCTTTCTATTTTAGTGGATGCTTCATAGTATGAGCGGGTGATGATATCAAATGTGATGACGCAACGCAAAGGCGAGAGCTTTAGCCAATACCCAAGAGCATGTGTATGGAATAGCTGACCCTTCATCCCAAATAGAGATAGTGTGTACTATTTGGATTCGATTCCTATGCGTGTAGAACATATCTCAAAGCCTTAGTATGTACTCCGTATAAAGCGTCATGTGCCTCCCGCTAGATGGAAATTAGATGTAAGAAGGTATTAGTAATAGCTTCTGTATTAACTTCAAGTACAGTAGCAACCTGCCTACGTACACAAGGAAATAGATTGACTGAAACCCTGGCAATAAAACGGTATTTGGGACATCCTTTCTTCTGGCTCAGTATCCACTCAAGCACACACTGCCATGATTTCTGCCTTGCCCTCTACTTGCATTGGTGCCCAACCATCTACGTTGTTATAATTTGATGAGTGAGGCATAACATTGAAGAGGAACACCGGAAGCCGCTAGCATGCAAGAGCTGGTGGCAAATATCGTAATGTTGGTGTTTTTGCATTTTTGCAAGTCTTGTCTAATACCTCGCCGTGGACAATTTTCGAGAAGGAAAATAGTATAGTGTATATAAAGATTTAAGAATTGTATCGCTATTTTGTTGAACTTATAGCGCTCCACAGTGTTGAGGAGGCTCGCTAGATAACATGCTAGATGGCCCTTGACTCATACATGTATGAGCCTCTCAAACTGGTCTTGGCCTAATAGCAAGTTGGCTATTTCGGGTTGGATCAAGATCCTATATGTGGGTGAAGGTCATCTAATTTAGCCAAGGCTATCTTTTGATCAAGGCAATACAGTGTAATATATATACGAATACCACTGTCATACGAATAAGACTGAATTCTGCCTTAGAAAAGAACTTTATAACCTGCTATAGAGCGCTAAAATTGATAGAACAGAATGTTTGTACTGCAAATTTCGGCCTGATATACTGACTGAAGAGAGTACCGTTTCCCGCACTGTGCTATAATTGTGCATGGCCGCTGTGCCGTCCCTGTCTGCTGATTCGAGTAGGTTCACACCCCCTACCCTTGTAAGCTTAGACAAGCAATAATGCTATCCGAGATCTCTAGATCGCAGACCCTTTCCCTTTTCATAGGCATAATCAAAGACAAGACAAGCTGAGGTATAGACATCAATTACTAATGGTAGAAGCCCAAGGAAGACCATGGTCGGGTCCCGGACGAGCGTTGCGATAGGTAGGAGCGTGGTGAATGTAGCAACGATGATTCCAGGCAAATAGCCCCGTTTCCACCGGCGCTGCCCAAAAACGCTCAGCATGCAGCTCCAGTGCAAACAAGTTAAGATTGCGACCATTAGAAGGCATATTTCACGTGGATTTTGTTGTTTGGTGAACAGGGGCAAGCGTACGTGCTCCTGCAATTCCCATCCATCGCATATCTGCGTTTTTTTTTGTGTTAAAACATTGAGTTTTTGCCAAATATATATACGTATGGGTTCGCTTGGCTTACAGAATATGATGCCCAACACGACCTGTTTTCAGGCTCCTTACCGAACTGAGCGGTGGTAATATTTAATACTGCCGTGACACTGCACGCCGCAATAATTTTGTATGCCGAGATGGTGTCGCTATCAGCCCAAGTATCTAGTTGGCCCTCATATGTCCATGGCGTTTCTTGGACAGCCAAGTGTTGAATGACTGATTCTCTTTTTTCTGTCCGCATTCAGAGAGGTGCCCTTGCTTTTGCATCAATCTAAAATTGCGGCTGCATAGAAAATCTGGGTTGTTGAATTCTGTTGAATTCTCATGAAGACGGGCTCAGTACATTAAAGGCGGTGTCTTTGATATGAGAATCGAGTCTGAGAGTTTTATGTCACAGAACGGCTGTTGATAATTTGAGGCGCGCGTTCGCTAGGCATGTGCTTGATGGTATTGAAGTGTTTAAGAGGACACAGGAAGTTTGTCTTATTTATATGAGTCTTTTGGGGTCTAATATAATAGGTAGTATCGTACTCTGATTGTGCACTCACCGGAAAGGACTTGAGCTAGCCGGAAATTGGGTCGTTGCCAATTGTCAGACATGCAATCTACCGCAGCTGAACAGGCCTCCAATCCATCTTAATTCTGCCATTAGGCAGACTCGAAGGCTTATACCGATAGTCGAAGATAATCCTTGGCTGAACTCCTCGTCCAATAGAATAGCTTCGCTAAATCTGGAGGGTTACACGACGTATAGGCGGAGTGTTTCACCGCAACTTCGCCATCAGCCTAGGATTATGAACTTTGTACTGGGAAGTATTATGTTATTCAAAGGATCATATCAAGTAGTCTATCTAAACAAATACCAGTCTATTTGCACTCAGACATTTGGATGAATAAGAAACATATATATGTACTATACAAAGAGGAAGGATGGGTATATCTTCATGTTTGCTGAATTTATCATAGATTGACATTATATTATGCTTCTGTGAAGCAAATTTATGTTCAAAGCTATATTTTAATCTTTTACTCCTTATGCTTAAAGGGACAACCACCTTGTGGCGGTGGCGGAGCTTGGCGAATTACTATGGCGATGGCCACGTAGCACGCTCTATTTACAGCATCCCTTGGTAGAAAGATCAATTGATAGGCAAAGAGCGTCTTAAATGCCAAAGAATAGAAGAAAGCCCATGGCAAGGCGCAGCCGAAGGCAGTTTTTTTTTTTCCTAGTACTAGGGGTTGCACCTTTGTTCTTGTACGCGTTGATACGAAGATGAAGCTCCTGGGCCCCCTTTTCGACGAATCTACCATTCTCGAATTCTTTAGCTCTTGCCAAATTCTTCCATATTCTCACGTGGAGTTTCCTGACGATGACAGCTTTTCCTCATTTCTGCCCTTTTTCTACCGTTTGCTCCTCAAGGTTTTGTTAGATCATCGCGCTCAATCGATCCCCCACAAGCATATATATATATATTTTTCACTGCTATTTTCTTGCTCTATTGTCTCATTATCGAATAGAAAAGCGATTGCCTTTGATATTCATTTTGTGCACTCTTCCGTCGAATATCCTGCTCTAACCCCAATGCTATTTCGCTGCTGTTCTTCTGCGAGGTTGATATCATACGGTGTACTCGTGTGCTCGGATATCCTTTCATTGAAGAATAGTAGGGTGATCTCGCAACCCTCATCGGCGAAATTAACACCTTGACTCACAGCTTGTGATCCACGCTGAATGAGCGGGCGGATGGTGTCGGTGCCGCCATCGACAATGCAAAGATGGCTGCTGCAAGCCAATGTCTGCCTCTCACTGCTGATTCTTTTGCCGGGAAGCCAACAAGATAGGTTCTCTTGGGCCCCAGCAATGACTTTTGGGTGCGTGTTTGTTTTACAGCTCTTCAAATCCCCAAGTCACACAGTAACTTATGTATATAATAGGATGTTGCTCTCTTGGGGCCTGACAGGCGCTTCACTCATCTTTTTCCACAACAGGAGTATTTTAGAGTAAGTGTAGATCAATGCTTCGATAGCGTAGCGTAGACACATACCTAACCGCGGCTGCAATGTAGGAATCGCCAATGGATAGTCTTATATCCCCTACAGATATGGCTACCGTTTGTGATAGCGCTGCAAACCGGCCTCGGAGAAGCCATCTTGCTACTGCCACTATCCACCACGGCTGCAATGATATATTTGGCGGTTCGCCAAGGTCCCTCAACATGTGAGATATCAAGGCTCCCTGGGCCTGTCACTGAACCTAGGCGTGGTAGGACACGACGATGGCGCAAAGCCGTACTCAAATGACTGGACCTGATGCGAGCAGCCGCCACAAACCGTCGTGATGACGGAACGCTTGGATTGGCTAAATAAAGCAATGATATGCTATAGTTATGTACTGGACAGTATTATTAAATACACTACATGTATTTTTTATTTACAGTTGGGGTGCCAAAAGTCTCTTATAAGCAGATTAAGTATACGATATCTACCCTTATTTTGATATACCGACGCAATCCGAAGTAGCGGCCCTTGTTAGGCACTAACGGGTTGGTTGCTGATTTCATTTTGAATGGTCATGTTTGTACGAACAATTTCGAGAAGGAATTGTTAATTAAAATTCAATTCATATATACATACGCATGCATTATCTCCGTCTTGCCATCTACCAAAACCTCGCCTCGTATCCAACATGCAAGAGTAACAAAAAAAATGCTCCGTTTACAACACCCATAAAACGCCAATTTTCCTTGCTCCCCCCGTGTTTCCCTTCTCCCACCATGCTCCGAATAATGAATCCGAGTTACGCGTGTATGCATGTGCTGACAAAGCAAAAGATAGAGACTGTAAAAAACTGCCCTTTTCCCTTCCTAGTGATTCTGACCCACAAATTGTTATGCAAGGAGATGTGATTTGTGTGACCTGAGATGCGAGATGCATGTCGTGAAGCAGCAAAAAGGCCAATGAAATGACGGCTGGTGAGAGAGAGAGAGACATAAAGAGAAGAATAAAGTAAGTGAACACAAAAATTAAGGTGCTATGGTGAAAAAGGTGGGTATCATTGATATAAGCCGCTTCTCGACGTTGGCCCAGCTCTTCAGGAGGGATGTTTTAGAATATCTATTCTTTGACCCCCCTTCCGGCGCTCTTACTGCTGTGCAGCATCTTCTTCGTTGTCATCGTCGTCAATTTCTTCGTCATCGTCGTCGTCTTCGTCGTCATCGCTCGACCCATCAGACTCCAGCTCATATCCCGGAGCCCTCTGGACAAGCCCCTGATAATAAGCCACCAAAATTTCCGGATTCGGCACAATTCTCCAATCCACCCTGTAGAGAAATTCAAGCTCGAGGAGCCTCAACTCAGCAACTCGCACTCCGCCTACTCGCGCGTAGGTAGTGTTGTTCCAAAAGGAGTCAGAGAGGCCCTTTGCAGCAACTGTGGCAGCGGTGATCAGGAAGCGGTGGACGGTGAGGGTGTTGATGGTGAATTCCGGGTAGAGAGCGCAGAGTCGGTCAATGTAGTAGACCATGGCCAAAAGAAGCGGTGGCGTGAGCGTGGCATGTCTAGCAAGCCGATGAAGATAATCTCTGACAGAGATGCCCGGGGGGGTTCTGCGAATGGACAGCAGGTTAGACACGCACAGACGAAAAAGAGAATGGTGGGAAATGCCGAAGCTCCTGCATACCTCGAGTGAAACCGCGTTAGTCCACCGCTGGAAATGCGAATTGCGTCATTGGTGGCAATCAGCTCTCCCAACATATGTGCAATCAGCTCGACCATGTGCTCTACCGGACAAAACTCGTATTTGTTTGGCAAAACGCGGGGAGGCTGTTCTTCGGGCCTGGCTCGTTTCGGTGCCTGAGGAGAGGCGGACCGTTGAGTCTGGGCCTGGGCTTGAGCCTGGGCCAGATCGGAACTCGAAGCAGTGGCGGCGGGGGTTGAAGAGGCATCTAGAGAAGAAGCCTCGGCGGTGGTGCCAAGTCGACGCTTATTAGGCGACAGCGCGTTGTACAGCCGAGCTTGAGCGGGTGAGGTTCGCGTCGGGCCCTGAGAGTCGTCGATGCCCATATTCGTGGATGTCGTCACAGTCGCCTTCGTGGTCGTGGTCGTAGGAGCTGCTAATGGGGAGGCAGAGGAGGAGGAAAACGCATGGGCAGGGGACCGGATGTCGCTTGTCGAGGCCCCGGTACGGCGTGAGCGGCCGGGCGACAGCGCCGACGAGGATGCCGAGACTGATACAGCCTCTGACTCTGTAGACAATCGGCGACGCAGATAGGCGGGCTTCGGGCTCACGGCGGGGAGCTGCGACGGGTGGGACGAAGCAGACTCCTGGGAGGACGTCGACGACGCATTGCGGAAGCTGGTGGGCGAGGCGTTGGCGGAGGGAGAGAGAATGGGGGACGTCTTCAACATGGTCTCCTACGGCGCATCATCGGAGCGCGGCGTGCTCTGGTGCTTCTGTTCGATATGGCTGCGCTGCTCTGCTATTCCTGCCCCGTCTCTGCTCTTGAAGGCCCCTGTGATCGGGGGAGAAGCAACAGCCAGACCGACTGGATGCGATATTCCAAAGAGAAAAAAAAAAAAAAGGCCACCAGGCGTCCTGAGTCGGAACAGCCGGCGGTAGGCGGCCGGGCAGCGGCTTGCTGGCGAAATGCAGTGACACACAATCCTGAAAATCGTGCAACAGCCAGATGTCGTCTTTTTTCTGAAGCGAACCGAAAAGGCTCACCGAAGCACCGAGCCAGGAAGATCTTATAGTGATAGTCCGCAGTCTAGCTAAACCGATCCAGCGAATGGCATGAATCGGCCGGCGGGACGGACGCAGGGCGAAAGGATGGAGGGGGAGATTGGCGGACAAGTATCTGTACCTGGGGGGAGAGTAAGTATGCGGCTCAACACTACCCAGTAGGCAGGCACTAGTTGTATGCAGTACTTGGCATGCAATTGCAACTGTCGACTTCTGTTCTGCGTCCTTGTATTTTTCGTTCGTTCCCCGTGGCGCAAATGGTGGCACTTCTATGCTTGGCGAGGCGAAGTGCGTTGATGGTGCCCGCTTGCCAAGTTGCTGCGAGTGGGATTCCGCGTCGAGGGCGTGTCTCTCGGCGGTGCTGTGCTCAATACGCCGCTTTGCCGGTATCTGTACTTGTCGATGCAGATTCAGCAGCAGTGAGACGGATCCCCATCATCAAAAGCCCGCAGCGACGCCTTAGACCTGATGCTCGCTGCAGCGATTGGCCAGTGTCCAGTACCCGGCCGGAAACTTGGGGGCGGGCTCAGACGGCAGGGTGGCTGCTCTCATGAAAGGGGGAGAAGAAGAGACAAGACAAGACACAGCAGAGGAGAAAAAATTGCTGTAGATTTTGTCCCTCTTTTTTCACCAAACGGTTTGCGAGACCTAGAGCCAAAACTAAACAGGACGATGGAGCATGCAATACCACCAAGGTGCTCCGTATTAGCCTAGCCAGTCATGTCCGAGCAGTTCAACCATTCATTCTCTGGGCTCATCCTGGGCCGGACCCAGAAGTACTGGTGCTAAGCTTGGCGCCGGTGGAGTACAACTTACGGCGCATCGCAGGAGGGAAAAACTCGATGCTTTCCGAAAACGGAATTCTCTCGGTGTGCCTGTTGGAAACTGATTGTCGTGCTTATACGGAAAACCAGCTGCAATTCAAACAGTCCGGCAATCCATCATGACCAATTCCAAGCAAGACAAAGGTAAAGGAAAAGTACAAGGCATTCTTTGCGTTTTTGCCGGCCGTGTCTTTTGACTCGCACCCGTCCCGCATTGCATGTACAAGTGCTCGGTCCGGTGGGCGGAAGGCGTCACTCGTCTCATCACAAGTGGGCTCCATCATCGATACTTACCAAGTTATGTATGTACTTGATCTTGGGGATGCCACAGACTACGGCTAGACAGCTTTCGCCGTAGTATTGCTACTACTGCTACTCCGTCCTAGTATCAGCAATTACTTGTACAATACCCCAGACTGACCCCAGACCACGCCAGCGAGGGCCCATCTGACTGAATAAAAGCAGCCATGATGAGTTGTCGTTTTGGCTGATGTCGGGTCGTGGTTCAACGAGCGCCTGTTGTTGCGAGCTCGTGGTGCAAGGAAGCACGATGATTCGTTAGCGGCCGTGGCCCGAGCCCAAGACAAGACTTCCAGACATGTCTAGCATCAGCAGGAGTTTTCCTTTCCGATTTGTGGCGGCGGCAGGACTAGCAGGGGAGACAAAGCTCTCTGCCCTACGGTGCTACTGCTGGCACTGCCACCACTGGGACGCGATCTTGTTTCGTTTGCTGGCGCATCTGCACGGAGCACTAACATGCCGAGAAGGGCTGTGGCACACTGCGCCTGGCCTCTTCGTTGCAGCCAAATAAATCCTACCGAGCTTGGCGATATTTATGCTCCAAGCAGCTGGCGATAACGGCGCGTTGCAGATCCCGAGCCGGGAAAATGCCGCACAAAGAGTTGTGTCTGGCGAGCATCACGACCCGGAGCTCGATGCCGGCAGCCGGAGCGAATGGCCCGGGATGTTTCTGATTATGTCAAAGCAGCCTAGGCCCAATCAAACTCGGTGTATTTATTATTGATGCTTGATCTGTCTGCTCAAGCAAGACCGGCATTTATACAAAAACTGGTGAAAGTAAGTAGTAGTAGTTTATAGTATTCTGTCTCTTTGCGGCCAGCCTTCCGGGGAGCGAACCTGTGGGCAGTGGAGCGTTTTACCTATGTACCTTATGGATTACGGACATTGGTGCCTTGAACCAAGGTCTGAAAAGCTGAAAAGTGACACGCTCTGATATGCAAACGACGTCTGCCGCAATCGTTCACAAACACGGCCAAAATCCCGGCCCATCTCAATATCGCTCGCAGTGATGGCCGCAAATTCTTAACAAGATAAATGCATCGCCCCGTATGGCCAGTTCTTCTAGAATTCTTCTATACTGTTTTTTTTCCCAACTCGCTCTCCGCTTTCGTCCCACCAAGCGAAATCCGGCAAACGTCGCCTTTTTATGGAGACATCTATGTAAAAAGAAGGTTAGTACGGAGAGATCCGATAAGATAGCACAATGCACGTGCCACGGCATCGGACTTGCCTTGGCGTGACATCTCGTCAGCCTGCAAGACAGAGACGCCGTGTCGACGACATTGGATAGATTCATGGATTGACATCGCCAATTTGTTTACGCCTCTGCACTGCTATCGCTATCTTCATCTTCCATCATCGCGCTCGTAATCTCTTACCCCAGGCGCATTATTGCCGCGATTCTTGTGCATTTCTTTATTTGCTTGCGCATCACGTCTTGCTTGGCTTCGCGAAGCTCAGTCTGTCAGCCCAATTCGCCGGAGCTGATTCGGGATTTCCCTGCTTGTATCGATTGCATCGGCATCATAGTCTATACCGACAGCTCATGCGCAGCTCTACACGCGAAGCATAATAGCCAATCTTGACTCAATCTCGCTAGTCGACCAGAGGCGAGATCCCGGCGCCCTGCTCTTTCTCGGCAATCTCCGCTACAGATCCCACTGCTACCCGCTTGTGTATCCGGCACTGCCATCTCCCATGGCGCGACCCCAGACATCCCCGATCCTAGCTCAGCTGCGAAACGCCAAAACGTGCCCCGAGCAGTCGACAGCTCTACAAGCTCTGAAGAATGAGATCATTGGGCATCACCAGAAGAAGGAGACATGGGTCAGTCTGGGGGTGCTAGAGCCCGTTATTAAGACCTTGACCTCGGCTCGCCCTGCGGCCAAGTCGAATACCGCCAAAGATGCTAGACCACAGGCATCGAGCCGCCGGTCCCTATCAGACGAAGACGACGTAAGGCTGCAAGCCTTGCAGATCATCACAAGCTTCGCCAAGGGTATGCTTTCCGAGATCCGTCACCTCAACTTCTGCAGGACCCCCCTGCAGCTTTGCTCGATCCTCCTCCACTTAAACAGCTGATACTGACGTGTGATACTACTTTATTTGCAGGTGGCCCTCCCTTCCTACCGTCCGTCCACGCCTCCCGAGCTCTTCCAGCCATCCTCGCATGCACATCTCCCAACGCCAACCCGCCGCAAATCGTCGTTGCCGCTCTCAAGGCCGTTAGTGGCATTGCAGATGCAGCTGCTCTGGCGCCCCCGACATCAGATTTCGATACTCTAGCTCTTGCCGACGCAGTATTTACATCGTCGTATCATCTCGAATCTCTATGTCTCATACTTGCTTCTACGTCATCCAGCCGCCTCCAGCAGACCCAGGTTGAGCTTGTGGCCAGCTTGATATCCCGCATCTGCAGAGAGGAACGGCATCAGCAGGCCCTGGTCCAGTCTGGTGTTTTGGATATGCTCGCGTCGCGCTTGGCCAGCTTCGCCGTCAGCCAGGGCCATGTTGTTCCAGGAGCCGAAGCGCAAGCTTACAGCGATGGGTTGTATGAGGCCTTCCCTAAGGAAGCTCCTCATGGAACACAAATTGGTCCCGTGCTTGCGGCGGTAGCAGCCATTCTTGGAGAGTCAAAGTATAGAGCAACTCGCCTCATCAACTCTCCCGCCATCCTTGCCGTCTTCCCATCCATCGCCGTTGAAACCAGTGGCCTGAGCGGTGCCAAAATCCAGAGCCCAACAGTTATGGATTACTTACTGCCTCAAGTTCCTCCTCCCTCTTCTAACTCTCGCAGTCCACTCCAGTCTCATCACCATTCTTCCGTTAATACACCAGACCGCTCCGAAGCACGAACTCCGAGTCAGACGCCTGGCCTTAGACTTGTCTCCCCTGCTGCCTTGGAGTCGGGCTTGGACAACTCATCCGATGAAGTCGAGAGCCCTTTCATCCCCTGGCTGATTATACAGGCCAGATCATTGTCTGGCTATGGGAGACTCATGGCAGTCACTATTCTGACAGCACTCTTCAAAGCTGGACTAGGGCGTAAAGGATGGAGAGAAGCCAGCCTTGGCATGCTAATAGTGCCGATTCTCCTTGAGTTGATTACGAAAAATGACAAGGACGAGGCCGAGTCGCAGAGTAGCTTTGATGAAACACAGCATCTCATCTTGGAGAAAGCGCCGGCAACATTAGCCCGTCTCATCACTGACAGCGAACTGCTACAAAAAGCTGCTTACGACTGCGGTGCAATTAAGACCCTGACAAAACTTCTGAGGCGCGCTTATCGCTCTGTGCCTATCCTAGAGGCAGCAAAATACTGGTCTCCCCAGCCTGACACTGATATGGATGTTGAGGGTCCGTCTGCGTCTTCACAATTGGGACAGCTTGGCCAGGATCCGCTGCTCTCGCATCGTGTGAGGCTAAGAGAATCGACGCTCAAAGCCATCGGCGCCGTAGCCTCTGGAAAGGAAGATTACAGGAAAGCCCTGGTTGAAGAAGACTTTATTCCCTATGTAATGGAGTCTCTTACTGAGTACCCCAAGCGTCCTAAGCAAATCAAAGACCGGCTCAAGGATAAACCCAGCGGAGAGCCTGAACCACAGCCCAACGTTTCGTCAGCATACGGCGCTAATCCATTATCCGTCATTGTCGCGGCGTGCCATGTTATCAGGATGCTTTCGCGATCCATTAGTATACTGCGGACGACGTTGGTTGATCATTCGGTTGCCATGCCAGTCTTCAAATTTTTAAAACACCCAAACGTTAATGTCCAGGTTGCTGCCACAGCTGCTATCTGTAACCTAGTTCTGGAAGCTAGTCCAGTCCGCGAAGTTTGTCAACCCCATCTGTTTCCCCTACTTTACTACTTGAATTCCCCTTTTGACATGACGTCTATCCCCCCCTCCTTTCATTGTCAATGACCCCGACACAAGACTGTTAAGCTAACAGCTACTAGCTACTGGCCGAAAATGGTGTTATGAAGATCCTTTGCGAACACGCCCACTCTGATAATCCTGCTCTGCGGCTTAATGCATTGTGGGCTCTGAAACACCTTGTCATTGCCGTTAGCTCCGATCTAAAGCGATCTTGCCTGGAGCAGCTTGGGCCTGATTGGTTGGTGCAACTTATTTGTGATGATGGTCAGGATGCTGTTTCATATAACACGCAACCTAGCCAGCCGTCGGGCGATGATGTGGATGTGGACGTGGATGTGGATGTGGACGAAGACATGGATGCCTCGCCATCTGACGAACAGGTGAGATGGATGTTTGCAGCAAACGGCAATCCGCAGAAGTTGGATGCTTCGAGATCAACCAAGCTGCGCCAAGCGGAAGACAAGCTCGCTAGCTTGCGTGAAAATGAACTTAACTCGTTAAGGAGATCCCGCAACGATGAAGTAGCTGTTCAGGAACAAGGTCTGGAGCTCATTAGAAACTTGTTAGGGCTCGGAGTCGGCGCTTCTGCGGAGTCACCTTATGATATGACAGAAATGATTGATTATTTGTTCACCACCATTGGGCAAGATCGGCTTTTTGACCTGTTATCCTCAAAACTACGAGCCAAGGTGCTCCATCCCTTCTCTCGACGAGCGCCAACACCGGGGCAGGAGACCAGACTCATCCACCCCCATGCAAAAATCATCATTCCAGTTATTTACATCTTGGTCCATATAGCAGCTAGTACACACCAGCATCGACAGTTGGTTGCTAGACAGACAGATCTGCTGAAGCTGCTCTACCAGCAGATCGGCAATCGAGATAAAGAGGTCCGCGTCGCCGTGTGTCATTTCGTCATAAATCTTACGGGCCACGACGATGAAAGTGATGTGCAAGACTGGTCTATGAGGATCAATGAGTTGAAGAAGTTAGGATTCCATACCAGGATGGAGTTCCTCAAGCACAACGACAGAGATCTCGACGTGAGAGAACGCGCTAAGGCGGCAGTCTACCAGCTAGATAAGGCGATCGAATTTTAGCACGAAGAAGCAGCCTGGTTAAGCATTTGGCTGGATCTAAACAAGAGAAGTGTGCATCAAGGGAGTGGAGAAACGTCAGGGTGTGAAGTTGAAGATGAAGATGATCCAGCCTTGTTGAGCATCGATGATGAAAGTGGAAGTGAAATCGAACATGAAAGCGGAAGCCAAGATGGAGACGGAAAAACAATTGAAGGTGGAGACGAAAACCAAGATAAAACCGCAATGGAAGTCGGTAGCGAAAATGAAGGTGGAATCGAAGATGCGGATGTAACCACGGTTGAAGGCGGAAACAAAGATGAGGATGAAATCGAAATCGGAGATGGAACCGCAATCGATAGCGAAATCGAAGATGATGATGAAACTGGAAACTCTACGTAGAAATACTATCTCAACCCTCAATACTTGACTGACGCCGAGGAGAGGTTGGGATTCAATTGACACCAGCGGCGGAAGAACGAAGGGTGATGAGGAAGACGAAAAGGGGGGAAGGACAAAGGAGGACAACTCTTGGATCTGCTTTGATACCGCTCTTCTGTTTATCCTTTCTACATCTCTTGGTATTCTTACTTCTACAACACGGGCATGGATATTGGGAGCAACGGCTTTATAATTAAAAACCCACAAAAGCGAAGAAAGAGAATTGGGATGAAACAGGGCATGTTCTAGTGTAAAGCGAATATTTTACATAACTCAAAAATTATAACAGCGAGTCTTTTTTTCTCTTTTTCTTTTTCCTTTGTATTCGCATGCTACATTCTGCCAGTTTTATCTATTGAATCTTCTAGTCTGGACGCTTCGTGAAGTTGAGACGGCAAGTTCGCGGCCACGATCAATTCAAGTTTAACCGATATTAAGTCATACGAATATAGCATACATTGAACCTGCGTGAATTCAAACGTGATTTCGTAGTACAATGGCACCATCTCCTGTTACCCGATAATAAAGGAATAGCAATCGAACAGAAGGCGATTAATCCAGCGGATTGACACAAACGACCTCAAGAGGAACTAACATGTCGTATTCACGATAATAATACATTTTACATATATTAACAAAAAAGCATTGCTTGTATTAAACACAGCCCATTAACTCGCCATCTATTTCTGTTCAATGTACCCTATAATAGGCAAAATCAAAATCCATCCGCGCTCCTCAAACTCGACAACCCTGACGTCCACTACACATACAACCCCCCCCTTTCTTTTCTCTATATTTGTATTTTCGACAAAAACATAGCCCCCCGGTCATGCACGTTGGTCGCACGTGTGTATATCTACTTCAAATTTGGTTATCTTGTGTTGGTCGTGGGTTAACACAGAAAGAAGAACCCCCTGTCAAAAAATCTCCAAGGCTGTTTAAAATAACACACACATTGTATTTTTCGGAGAACCAACAAAACACGCTTGACAACCAACACCCCCTCCAATTCCAAAAAAGAAAAAAAAAAAAAAAGAGGAAAAGGAAACGAGATAGAAAGTAAAGAACTAAATACTATTGATGGGCGGTAATTTGAGTTTACACGTGTCTTTAAAAGAAGAAACAAGCTTAATGCAGGGAGGCAAAGAAGAACCAGAGGAATAATAAGAAAAAAAAAAAAAAGAAAAAAATCTTTCACACGCGATTTGCTAACTAAAGATGGAGATGAAGTAACAGTTATTTCTGCAAGAAGACTATGGAGGCGGAGTTTAATTAAAGAGAGCCATGCTACCCGGCCCCTCGGTGAAATGATCTCGTCTCTTCCACTGAGACAGAAATTGATGCTATTCTCGAGTACACAGAGGTAAAGGGGACGCCCACAGAAATCTACATTGTCATCTTTACCGCACCAATATTAGCAACACGTAGCGGCGGTATGAACTCGATGTCTAGCCTCATCCGCAAGCCAAGAGACCAGTGTCTCGTTTCATCACACAGACCATACTCGCAACGCACCCCCAAGCTTGATTCCGAGACCAAGGTGGGCATCAAAACATCTCGCACTTGGGGCCTCAATTTCTTCATGGGCAGACTGTCTATCCATGATATTCCACACTAGCAGAAACTCCGGAACGATTTGCCGAAGAAGAATCACGCTTTATCTTTAACGATTTGAGCCATAGTACAGTATATTGTGATAGAATCTCAATCTAATAGCATGACATCTGACAGAGAATGGGAAAAAGGGGGTGAGGATGGGCATCACCCGCTCGTGCATAGGTATGCGGCTTGCTAAGAAGAGGCAAAACTCTGCCGATCAAGAAGAAAGCAAAAGGCGTCCTGCTCAGAAGATGGATGGCACAGCCAACAACCCCAAGATAAGACTCTCAGCAAGATTTCACTCGGTAACTATTAATATGTTCACAGGGCGAAAAGGGGGGCTAAGTCACATGTAAGGCTGCAAGCGCAGCGGTAAGACAGAGAGAGACAGGGCAGCATATCGCCGGAGTGTTTTGTGTCCAACAGTTGGAGACAAAGCGTATGTAGGGAGAACTGTTTGTACTACCACCATCATCTTTGTCACTCGCCAAGTTGGTGGCGGGAGTAGTGGTGTTTCAACAGGTTCTTAGACATGCAGAGTCTCTCTGGGACGAATGTACCTCTTCTTGACACTAAGTCGGGTGTTGGATAGTGCTTTGTGGAGCATGTTTTGTATTACTTCATAGGCGGTAACAGGTGAGTCAACCCATCGTGGGGGGTTATGGTAATGATGGGTTGTGCCAGTCTGTTTACTACTTAAAGCTCGCTACCTGCCTTTGAATCTCCGGGTACTTACTATTAGAGTATCAGATATGCCATGTCTCAAGGCAGTATAAGTCCACTGGAGGAGGATTCACCAGCAAAGCTTTGTCGACAGTGGGCTTTAGGCACTGGTCAAGGAGGGTAAGCTGTAGGCCTATGGAGTAGACTGATTTCGCAACAACTGGCTTTTCTCTCGGTCATTGAATCATAGAAGGAGTATACCGCCTTTTGACCATGTGCTCCCAGAAACGAAATTGCTTTGGCGGTGACACACAGAGCACCAATAGCTCTCATCTAGCACTGCTCTCTCGACCATCATTAGGAGACTCGACGGATCAAAAACGCCCATTTGAACGAGTCGCTCAACCAACAGGGCCTTGTCAATCCAGCCACCACCACCGCTTTGTGTGCCCCAAAGCTCCCAGACGATCCTATATGACATGGGAAGGGGGCCGGAAACTTGTAAACTTTGAACGACGCTATCATGAGACATGCATAACAAGTGGCGGTCCTGGGTCACGTTAATGAAATGTCAATCCTTGGCTTTTTGTATTTGGTCTAGCTCTCAGTTCCGGCTCTTAGCTGAGCACGTTCCACGTGGTTTTCGTAGACAACAAAACGAACACAGCGGTTGGATCTGAACTTTGCTCCTCTTATTTATGAGTTGAGTGGCTGAATGCTCAAGGAGTTATATCCGAGCTGAGGTTAGAGTTGCAGCTAGTCCAGCCTTTGAGCAGATCTGCATTAGCTGCACCTTTCTTGAGCTAGAAGCCGTCTGGTGCTGGAAATGTGTCCGAGTATGAGGAATGAGAGTACGTAGCACACAGTAGAAAGTACTCCGCATAGACAGAGGTTGACAAGAAGTTTGATCGTCTACGGGCTGCAAGCTTGCAATAGGACGGGCGATTATGCATATGTTTAAGGACAGGCTATGGTGATAATTGTGCCTGCAGCTTTGGCTTTTATTTCACGGTAGCACGGCCTGTGGCCCTGGCAGGCATAGACTCAACAATTAAGGGCCGTCAAATGTCGAAATGGATTGCGAGATTGGCGTCGAAGAGCGTCTTTTGCATAAGATTATGCTGGACTCGGTGGTACCGCTAGTGCTGATCAGGTAGCGCATACACAATGCTCATGCTCTGGGCGGCCAAGCCGGCAGCGATAACTTGCTGCGACCAACAACCACACTTTGGACACTGCCTGCGCCAAAGCATCGTGCCACCTTGGTGTGTGTGCCATCGGCAGTGGGCGAAGGGGGGGAAATAGCATCTGCAGAGTCTTTGGTGCGTTTGCGCATCCTCGGAGCGCCAATGCAGTTACAGAGTTGGACGAATAAAACCCCGGCTTACTTGCGAATGCCTGTTGGGCCGCCGTTTTCGCAGAAGTACCAGCGACCGGTCACAGGATCTTTGCTGGGGGCCTCGTTATCCATTGCCCGAGTGGCGACTGGCGCACGAGTCGTTTGGTGGGCTGTTAGAAGCCGCGTTGTTTGCTGGAATGCTCAGCTGAGAGAGTTCCATGGACTTGGTATCGACGGTGTCGGCACTGCGTGTAGACGCCCGAAACCTTGACCCTGGGGTTGGGACTACGAACTGACCAACCTGCGGCTGTGGAGTGTCGCCGCTGCTTACTCAGACGCTTCGTGCCGCAAGGTTCGAAGGGAACCAGTCTGGAGAAGGCAAGATAGTAGGTCATCATGCCATGCTTTGGTGACTACCTACTCCTACCGACTTTGCTACAGTTAGTAGCGTTTGGTGTCAGTCAAAACTGAAGGGGCTGTGGTGAATATGAAATCAAAATTAGTATAGCCGACCTAGTACGTAGTACCTTACCTGCCTGTGCTGCTCTTTTGTGCTACACACTTGGGGTACAGACGCCTAATACGTACTGGCCGCATTCATGGCTTGCTGTCCCCTTGAGAGCTAGGCACAGATCAATGAATGAATGAGTGAGTGAATGAGCAATCAATTGCAAAGTAGCAAGCGGTGCTGGCAGACCTCGAGAAGACTCGGCTGTGGGCCAAGCTCGCCGGGCACAGACTTGGACAGGCCGCTCTGCGAACAGGGTTTATTCCATTCGCCAGCCTAGCAGCCTATAGCGCAACAATGCGAGACACCAACTGGCCCGAGGAGTTGAGCAGTGGTGAGGGTGGGGAGCGGAGCCCGAGACTTGGAAGAGGCGAGGGCGGCTGTCTGGTACAGTAAGGTTCGAGGTAAGGGGCCATCGCGGAACAACGGTCGTGTGCAGCCGGGCGACGCTGATAGGCTCCAACGGTAGCATTCCAGCGGTTCCAGCGGTTCCAGCACCACACGCGGGCTTTCGGACCAGAATCTTGGAGGGGGTGCGAAGCTAATAACCTGTCGGACGCGATCTGGTGAAAAGGGCCGCAAGATGATCTCGGCCGACACGCTTAATGGGGTTGCTGACCTTCATTCAATGCTGCGGCGTGGCATCCGTCTGGAAACAGATCCTTGATCGAAATAGGATGAGTCTGGCCCCCTGGCAAAGCGTTTCGTCGCCGTACATGGTTGTAAGGATATCGTAGATGATAATGAATGCGCGAGGAAATGAAAAGTTGACCAGGGGCATAGCGGGAGATTTCTTGGTTTCTCTTCTCTTTCTCTTTCCGCCTCTGAAAGTTTCTGGAAGAGGAAGCCACACGACTGTAGTTGGAAAGAGCCTCGGCACGGCAGCTTCTGCCGCGATCATCAACACGAAGGTCGAATACAATAGCAGGAGCACCCGGAGTGCTTGGAACAAGTAAGCAGGAGCGCTGCCTGCCGATGCTCCTGCCTTTGCACGCTGGAGCCTTGTGTGCTCTGCAGCAGCTTAGATTTATTACAGGACATGTACTCGCAGCAATAACTGCAGCAGGAAAACTCGCTTGCAGCAGTAGGAATAGGTACTGTGTCTTGGCTACGAGCTCCCTGCCAGTTCACAAGTGAGCACATGTACCTTGATCAGTTTTTTTATCCCTCTATATTTATTATTAAAGTGCATCCAAACGAGTACGATACAGCCCATAACTTGCATCTGCCCATGCAGTTACATACGGCTTGTCTGAGCACCGGAAACGGGGCCGGTGTTCAAACAGGTCTTATAAAGAGAAAGAGAGAGAGAGAGAGAGAGAGAGAGAAACGTTTTCTTTTGCCACATCCTCTTCCTTGCAGTATGCACTGGGCTCATCCCTTTGGCCACGGATCCCGCGTGGCCCTGATAACTTTATGCAGCACTACTGTAGCATGACATGGAATGGCATGTAACGGCTCGCTTGCCTTGCTGGAGCTTGTCCCGGTGCGAAGAAAAGGAAAAAAGGAAAAACATAAACGTTTGAAACCCGCCTAATTTCGGAGTGGCTTCCGTTGTATCCCGGTGCCTGCTCTGGGGCCGATCATGTCTTTGCTTTCCTAGGACGAGGGGGCCATGGGGGATCCACCATGCTACACATTTCTCGGTGCAATATGAAGGACGAGTCTGCTTGTAGTGTTACACGGCGTTGCAAGAGAATAGAGGTACTATGTGCTGTATGTACATAGGTAGTAGGAAGTAGGAAGGAATAAGATGCCTACTGTATTCTTCTGTGGCAGTTACTGATAACGAAGCCTCGTCGTTATTGGCCGTGTGTCCTGGATGGATGGCATTGTTGCTATTTTGAGATGTATATACTTACAACCTATACAGAGAGAGCATTCAAGTGCACAGACCATCATTTGCATTATCTTGCCTCGGCAAGTTCGACTTTACAGCATGGTACAAACAACGCAGTATTGTGCCTATTGGCCTAGATTGCTGGCTACGATGAAAACGATACTATTAGTCTGGTAATGCCTGTAATAGGTAGCTCCGTCGAGAGTCGTGTGAACAAAGCCAGCCGCGCCGGAGCTTAATCCCAGCGGAACCAAAAGACGTAGGTGGCCAAGATTAGCGGGGAACTTCAGCGCAGCAAGAGCATCAAACGAACTACTGTAACATACTGCACAAGTACAGCATCTTGCATTCTGCTCATCTGCAGAGCAACATCGGGCCTGTATCTTTGTTCTTGTTTCTTTTCTTAGGTTTGCTCAGGCCACCAAGCGCACATCTCGCCCAAGAGGCCCGATAAGCGCTCGGAGCCTTTCCGTACTTCTTTTTTTGCCTTTTGACGCATTCTGGGACTTTGCCTTGCCTTGTCTGATAGCATTTACGGGGCGCAGAGAGCGATTATGACTGTATTCGCGTGGGGAGCCGCTGGTGGAGGGTTGCAATGGCAGAGCTTCGATTACCAGCGTTGACCAGTAGCATGCTGCCCAGTCATTGCCAGTGGCGATGAAAATAGGCCGCAGCCTTGGAGGAGTTGACGCCGCAGCGGCAAGTTTGTGAGAATAACGTGCTCGTCTACCGCGAGTACAGCGACCTGTAGGTATGGCATGTGGACATGATCCGCGGTATTGCTGCCAGGCGCTCCTCCAATACGATACACGAGGTCTATTCATATCTGCTTGTACGTCAAATTGTCCCGGGTCTTGCTGGGAGCACGGTGATACTGTGTCGCCCACGACATGACTGACTGATTGATCACAAGTACAAGCAAGCAGTTGTGTCACCGTTTTGGCAAATCTCGAATGCGCCACTTGCTGCTGGTTGGAACGAACTGGATGGTACATGATCTTCCTGGCAGTTTACAGGGGTTTCAAAGTCACCATACAACTAGCGGCATTAGCACTTGCAAGTGCCCGTACGAGCACCAGCGAAATGTGTGCCCGTTTGGGGGACAGACGCCCAAGGCACAGCAGCACTACCGGATGAGTGCGTCCAAAAAGCGTGGCACAACTGCTGCAGGTGGATGTCCCGTAAATGGCCCTACATATGACATGTCAGGTTGCATGATCCGACACGGCAGTGCCTCGTATGGGACTGAAGCACGAGATCCACAAGTCCATTTTGTGGCCTCCAGACCCCGGCAGGTTTTTCATTTTGTGTCTTCTGCAAGCCTTTTAAGCCTATTTCATACTGTAATGTGCAGTACCTGCTCTAGGTACTCGTACAAGTACTAAGCAAGTGCAGGTATGCATACGCTGAAGCCCCTCTTTGCTCTCTTTTGTGCGACTTTGCTGTGCCATGCTCAAAAGAAGAGGAGTGATGGAGGAGGAACGAACACCAATAGCTAGACACAAACTTGGAAAAGCGCACCAGACTAACGGATACTTTGTGCGATCTTACCGACCCAGGGACGGAGATAGGTACGGAGTACAATTAGGTATTTACGAATGGGCAAATGAATGGGCGACGGGTCTCTGGGGGATGACAAGCCGACAGCAAGAAAAAAAACGAGATGCTCCCCGTTTTTCTATCGAGGTGGATACGACGGGAAAACCATGTGTCAAGAAAAGACTGGGGTGTCTAGGCTGACGATGGATGGAGATTGCTGTAGCACTACTGACTACAAACGGTAAGTCGACCAGGATTCTGCGAAATGTGCCAGCAAGGAAAAGGGACTGCAGGCAAAGAGAGAAAGGGCTGGCGACTAGCAGACCGACCCATGGCGGGCCGGCGTCGGCCGAGTGGTCAAGCTTGCTTAGTAGAGGCAGATCCAACTTAAGCTGGCGGCAGCTGCTAGCTAGCCGTAGCTTGTTTGTGTCAGTATGAGTGTGTCCCGTGCAGTACATGCACAAGCATGCACCTGTGGCCGAGAAGGGCAGAGATGGAGGGCGCCTTCTGAGCGCTAGAGACCTGAGACGCAGGCAGCGGGATGCTGGGATTGGATGGACGCTGCAGCACCCGGGGGGCTTGTTCAGGTCACTCCCGGTCGCCCACGAGGCGCTGGGAAGAAGAGGGAAAAGAGGAGAGGGAAAAGCAAGGCATTTGTACAGTACGTGGCACCGGCGCAATTTTGTCAAGCTGGTACTTGGCAGGCAGCCTGCCCGATGCGGATGCTGGGGGTATCACAGACGGCATCACAGACGGCGTCGCTCTTGTCACCCGGTACCTACGTTGGTGGCCGGGCGATCTGGCCGGGCTGTGTCATCGAGCATTGCTAGCACGAGCAGCAGCAGCACCGTTGTGGTGTCTAGCCGGGCCAGATGACTGCTGGGCAAACGGGCCTCCGTTCCTTTGATGCACCATCCAATGGCCGGCCATTCCCCAGCGCCGGTGCCAGGCTCGTGGGATCGCTCTCCCCATTGCCCGTCAAGCGCAAATCAATGGCGCGCGCCCAACAACGCTCCCATCTCGCTCGGCAAAGGACCGCCAGCGAGCGGGTGGGCGACAATCAATACCGGCAACAGGATGCTTGCCCAGCACGGGCCACTCACGGCGCCTGGCCGGGCCCCTCCAAAGCGCTGGGTGGATGCGAGCTCCAGCCAGTCCCAGCGAGTACCATCCGGCCAGTGGCCCCAGCAAAATAGCGCAGTCAGAACGCACAGGCAATGAGCGGCTCTGGTATCACCGACGCCATTTCGCCCGCAGGCCGTGCCAATGGCAGTCGTGCGAGACGCCCGTCCCTTGTTCGGGGCCCAGACCCACGGCAATATGGGAAACCTTGGGAGGTGGCGCACACCCCGGCTCCGTGGCCCAGGTTCTTGTCGCCAAGAGACGTGAGGTATGCTCTGGCTGCCCTCGACGGCACCGCGTGGCCCACGTACCTGTTGTCCTGAGCTAGAGTGCTTACTGGGGCAATGACATGCAAGCAGGTAGTATACCGAGCAGACTAGGTGCAGTACAGACTTATACACTACAGATTCTAGGCTATTGGCGGCGCCTCTTTTTTTCCTTGGATACTATCTACAAGTATGTAGGTATGCTATTTACCCCTTCTTTGCTTTTTCTTTGCCAGGGCTTCGGACTTTGAGGAAGAACTAGCTTTAGGGGAAACTCAGCTGCGCCGGCTACTGCAAGGCAATATTTTGAAGAGCAGCCCGGTCTGCGCCACCAAAGTCGCAATGGTTCTAATGATGATATCGAACACGTTATTGGATGCTGCTTGCTTGCCTGGACGGAGTGACAGGTGGTGGAGCCGTCTGGCTTTCCTTTGGGCAGATTGAACGGATGAGTGAAGGCGAGGGACTGAGTGATCGACTGGACTGCCTTGCTTGTGCTCGTGCTTGTACTTTCTCTGGAATAGGCACTTACACCGTAGCTCAAAAGCCCGACAAGATTGAATTTTTAGCGGACAAGCACTACCATTACAGGTGCTACGCATGGTGCAGTACCGTACCTGTGCTACGGCACAGCGTCGCCGGGGGGTCTCTAATGTATCAACTGCTGTGTCTTGTCCACCAATGGCGTGGCAGCCGTTGCCTGTCCAGCGCTGCTTTTCTCTCGTCCTGCAGGTTCCTGTACTTCGCCGGTGTCTTCGATTTTCTTTCCTTTCTTTTTGTTCCGTCCTCTTTTTCGTGCGAGGTGCTTAGAAACCACCACATTGTACATTATTATCCTTGCTCATACCATCAGCCCATCGCCTGACTCAGGCCATGCATTTGCCCGCTCGCTTTGCCTGGTCCTTCTTTTTGCCCGCAACACAGGCCGCCAATTTTTCCCCCCTTCATTTTCAACGTTAAACACGGGAACGGGGTGCTGCAGTAGCGGCACAAGCACAAGCACCGGTGCTGTCAAAAAGCTGCTGGCGAAGCAAACATTGCTGCGACCGACCGTCTGGAACCCGCTGGGGAAGTGCTGAAGTAAAATGGCCGGGCGTGGAGAAGCCGAGCTTGCCACCCCCTCTGTCTGTGTCGCAGCCAATAAATTTCTAGACGCCAGGGCTGCAGCCTCTCATCAGCACGAAAGCTCAAGCGACAGCGTGTTTCTTTTTTGGCTTTTCTGCTCCCCCCCATGTGCTCCCATGTGTGGTGAGAGCAGTGAGAACATGCATCTGAGCACAAGAGACACGGTACCTGCACTGGGCGGGCTGGGCACCTTTGTGGTGAGCTGCAGCAGTCTGTCTCGTCGCTTGCAAAGTCCATAGGTACCGTAGCACCAGACTGCAAAACCAGTACAGGGGCCCGGGCTACACTAGGCTGGCTAGCTCATCCCATTAATAGGTGCAGTACGGCACGAGCACCCGTACACACAAGTATGTACCAGCAGGGCATTTTGCAGCTTGTACCGTACAGCTCAGACATGCCGTTCGGTAGCGGTACCAGCACCAGAAAGTCGCCCGTGAAGAAGCTGGGGAGAAGATCCTTCCTAACGAACCCAACCGCCATCCGGGCTCTCGCCCATCTATCTCCACCCCCCTCTGCCATCTGCTCTGCCATCCACTACCGTCGGCACCATCCACCCCCCCAGCGCTCACCCCCTCTCCACGCTCCTTTAAAAAGAAGGGAAAAACGAAACCCTTCGCGTTCTTTCGGCCAAGGCTTACCTGATTGGTCCTGGCCCACGTCCTGGACATGCCAGGCTCCCTCAGCTGCGACCCGCTCCTCTAGTCCCAGATTCCCGGGGCCCTCCCTCAATAAATGTGGCCCTGGCTCTAGTCGGAACAGCGTCTGCCCAGCCTGGCCAGCATCTCTCAACTGCTACTAGTACCTACATGGTCGCACATCCACTTCTTTCGTCCTCCCGTTGGTTTCTCTCCTCTTGCACCTTCCACGCACACAACCTCGATATACTCCCACGGCCTGAGAGACGATAGACGAGACCGTCCAAGGGGAAAACAAGACAGCTCCATCAACTCGGTCGCTCTCGATACAACCCGTCGTCGCTGCTATACATGATTCCACGACTCTCGACTACCCGCGTACTGTAGTCTGGGCTGAACAACGGGCTCCTTGCTCTCCCGCCCTGACGGTTTGGCGGACCGAGACCGCCTCGAGTCATTTGAAGGTGAGTTGACCATTCTTCATCAGACACTGCTACATTACTTCTTTTTGCGTCATCCAAGTTTTTTTTTCCCTCTCGACTGTCGCTCCTGCTGCCCCATCATCCGTCCTCAAAAGGTTCTCGCAGCCACATTGAACTGTACCACTAACACAGCGAAACAGCCTCTTTTTGATCCACTCGTATTCTTCACTCAATTACACTTTTTTTTCCCACGCGATATCATGGCGACGCCTTCCAGTGTGGCCTCCTCGGCAGGCCAGCGGGACATGGTCCAGCGAATTCACCGTGTGACTAGAGAGAACCGCCATCTTTGGTACCAGTTGACGGTTCTGCAGCAGCCGGAGCGAGCTCGGGCTTGTGGTTCGGGCATGAAAGGTACGACCTTCAATGTGACAGATGGATGATGCATCGCTCTACTCCATCTTTTCTTTGCGAGAAAGTCTTTGCTCACTCCCTCGTAGCTAACAGCGACCGACGACCCGTTGATCCACCACCTGTTGTTGAACTTCGCATCATCGAAGGTCACTCTGTTGAAGAAGGCAAGGACATCACTTTCGACTACAACGCCAATTTCTTCCTTTATGCGAGCTTGGAGCAGGCCCGTCCCATTGCCCATGGCCGTGTCCAAAATGGAGCCACTAACAACCCTCCCATCCTGACTGGCGTTCCTGCATCTGGTATGGCCTATCTCGACCGACCTACTGAGGCTGGATACTTCATCTTCCCCGATCTCTCCGTCCGACACGAGGGTTACTTCCGCCTCTCCTTCAGCTTGTTCGAGACGACCAAGGAGGCCAAGGACTTTGATCTGGAGCCCTCCGATTCCGATCTTCCCCCCGGTGTTGACTGGAGAATGGAAATCAAGACGCAGCCCTTCAACGTCTTCAGCGCCAAGAAATTCCCTGGACTGATGGAGAGCACTCCCCTCAGCAAGACCGTTGCCGACCAAGGATGCCGAGTCCGTATCCGCCGTGATGTACGTATGAGGAAGCGTGACGGCAAGGGCAGCGGCTATGATCGACGCGAAGAAGAGTATGCTCGGCGTCGGACCGTCACGCCGGCTCCCGCCGAGGATCCTCACGGCTTGCGGGCCAGATCCGTCAGTAACGCGAGCGAGCACCGTGCGCCCTACATGCCACAAGAGCCATCACGAAGACCATCTGCTGCTGAAAGCTACCATGCTCCCTCATTGCACCCGCCTCCTCCACCTCCCTCTTACGACGCACCACCGCCATCTGCTCGTCCTGGCCATCTTGCATTCGGCGACTCAGCAGTGCCGCAATATGGAGCGCCCGCTCCTCCTCGCCCATATGCCCATCCGCAAAGCGCTCCGATCCCTCCTGCCACGCCTACTGGGCCATATCCAGCAGCAGCTTCACCATCTCCGTATGCCAAGACAGACTCGCAGCCGTACAAATACAGTGCTCGACATCCGGCGCCTAGCCCATCGCCAATTCCGCCCATGAGGCACGCCATTTACGACAGTCGGCCCTCAGAGCCATACTCATCGACTGAGAGGCGGCCTTCGCATGCTCCTTACCATCCTTCCGGGCCGGTGGCACCGTACTCTGCACCCTCTCTTCCGCCACTGCCTAGACGCGAGTCGTCGACTCATTCATCCTTGGCGCCCCTCAGGATTGCTTCTTTGGTGTCGCCCCTCCCGCCTATCGAGGCCCAGACGGAGCCTCTTCCCCCTCCACCGATCATGTCGACAGGCGGCAAGAGAAAGCATGACTACGTCTTCTCCCAGAGCACTAAGCCGCTGTACAATGGCCAGCGGCAACTTGATGCTCACTTTAGTCACGGCTATCGTGGAGTCACCCCCGAGCCTGATCAGGGAGTCTACTCTAGAGCCGACGGTCATATCGGCGTCGTTACTTTCAACCAGTACCAGGTATAAGCCTCTTGGTATGCTACAAACTCGACTCCGATGTATGAGTGACTCAAAAATATTGGAGTATTATCTGCATTTTATTTTGATGCGTGATAGATTTCTCATGGGCGTTTTGGGGCTTGTATCGACTATTAAATACCTCTTTTATTATTTCGCAAGAGGACAACATGAATGGGCTAGTGATTTCTGGAGTTGGGGCACGACAAGCAGCTTGAAGCTTTTATAAAGCAAGATGGCTCGACGGAACACAGCAACTTTGATGTGATTTTTTACTTTTATATACATATATATATATCATCGTTATTCTTGATTCTTTTCTCCGACAGGTTGCAACAATCATAGATGGCGGGAAAAGAGAGACGTGAATGCGATGAAATAACCATTTACGCTCTACGTTGAATTCAGTACCCATATATTGTGTTAATTGGGACGGCATAGCTGTTTCGCTGAAACTACCATTCCTTATAGTTGAGGTGTTCTTTCTTTTCTTTTGGATGGATCTTTCTTCTCTTTTTATCTTTTTTTTTCCCCCAAATGATACAATCTATTAGCACAAGTAGCTTTTTCTTGCTTTTTCTATAGCAGACAATATTTCCATTATCCTATTATTATCCTTACTATCTCTTTTTATTTCCCTGTTTGAGAATCTGGTTCAACAACTGTTCTGTTAATGCTGGATAATGGGAGGGGAGGTCTGTTTGACTCTCCATAGTGGTTTGGCTTCGTGGAGAGGTAACCAATGCCTAGTATTTTCAATGTGAAGCACAACTTGGCGGAAATATTGAGAATATGGAAATTTCGGTGGTTCGTTTGTTTACCATTGGTACAGCAAAAATTCTTGGAGTAAATGTCATTTATTTTCTTACGATGGGATAGGGTCTTTGAGCAAAGCTAATTCAACAACCGTGGCCGGTGGTTTCTTTGTTTCTTATGTCTTTCTTTACATATACCTATGTAGTTTATAACTGATAAGAAGATTTTGAGAACGATTTTAGCTTTTGTAACATATCTTTTCTTTTCTTTTCTTTTCTTTTTCTTCATGACTAGTGAATTGAATTGAATTGTTATATTTAAGGCACTTCGGAATTGCATAACTCTTGGATAACTCGGGAGCACATCTCACATCTCATAACCGGCACTGTAGCTCAAGCTCAGATCGTTTCAGGCCAGCACAGCCGCAAAGCGTAGTGTCAGTCCTGCCAGGTATATTGCCGCACCCAAGTAATATAATTTAATGACTCTCTACTTGCCTCTCGCTAAAAAAAAAAAAAAAAAAAAAAAAAAAAAAAAAAAGAGCCGGAGCGAGATTCCTAAAGAGAATATCTATCATGTGGCATGAGCAACTAAAATCCCCCAAAAAGAGAGGGAGGAGGAGACTGGCTTGAGGGGGGAAAAGAGAGAGAGTGTGATCGGTGAAATACCACCCTCGGGTCGGCTACTTTGTCGGACTGTGACGGTATTTTCGAGCACAGAGTGGCTTTATGGCCCGTAAAATGAGTAGGAGAAAGACCAGGGCCATGTGCGCTAAAGGTGCTCTCTTGTGACCTGGGTATATATTGTGTGGCTGGCGCGAAGGAAACTCAGTTCCCTATTGAGCTTGGAGCGCAGCTGATCACGTTCTGATTCCTGGAAGCTTAGCATCTCATTTGTGCAGCGAGTAGGTACCTGATAGCGAGTAGACAGACTTGCAAGTGTCTAAGTAGTTGTCTTCGCCTCCGCATTTTCCATCCCTTGGATGCCCGTCGTGCAGCATCGTGCAGATGTCGGTGGCCCTGATCATGCCAGCACGGCAGAGCAGCTGCGAGCCCGCTCGGCCGGCTTGTCCTATTTGCTGCTAGCAATATACGAGTACGGGGGAGCACAATCAACATCCCTGTCGCCGACCCGGTCCCAATCCCTGCCGGCCCCCTCCTCGAAGATGCCATCCCTGTCCGTTGCCACGACAACCATCACGTGCAGCCAGGATGCCTGGCCAGACGGTGTGAATGGGGCCAGCCGTGGGTGCCATACATAAAACAAAACAGTCGGGCGCATTTCTGCTCCCCAGGCCGCCAACGTACATGATCCTATCTGCAAGTGCAGGAACCGGGCCCGTTCTAGCCCAGCGGTGCTGTCTCTTGTCTGGTGGCTCGCAGAACCAGATAAAGAAGGACGAGCCTCGCCTTGCGGATCTCAGGTTGATTGTAAGTTGTGAAGTGAGAGGAAAACGACACAATCAACCCCCCCCCTTCTCTCACTCTAACCTCGCCCTTTTTTTTTTTCTCTCTCTCTTCTTCTTGAAATCAGCGCCATACAAATGACTTGTCAAGCTAAACCTCACTCACTAACAATGGCCCCAGCTACGATCCCTCATTAAACTTTAAAAAAGGCTTGCGGAGTGAATCCCAATTTCCCCGAGCGCCCGGCGAGACAACAAGACCGAAGACCTGCTACGTATAAGTGTGGGAGCATTCCCCCGTCAAGAAGGGAGGGTGCTGGTCCGTGTTTTGGTTTGGTTTGGCTTTTGTTTTGTTGTCGGTCATACCATTGTTTTGGAGTCTCGAGAGAGTGAAAATAATCCCTCGCTGGTGGTGGCGGCAGAGACGAGAGAGACAGACGAGGAACAAAAAGAAACAAGGTCCTTGGTGACGGAGATGAACGCTTTCTGATTGTTTGACCCTTCTGTTATTTGACATCGCCACTCAATCGTTGGCATCGGCTCTACTGGTTGCGAGACCGTAATCAGACATCTGCGGCCGACGCTTCTTTTTCCTCAATCACCGGCCCTTAACCCCCCCGTCGTCTCTACGTTATCGCGCCTATCTATATATACACCATCCCGCCTGCTCAACCGCTCACCTGCCTGCAATGGGCCCCCCGAAGACGAGGGGCCTCGAGGCGCGGCCGAGCCGCAGCCGCTTTCACGAGGGTTCTATGAATGACCGCGTGTCTGCCGTACCACCAGACCATTTCCTTGGACCCGGGGAGATAGAATCGCTGGAAAGACCATTGGAGGTGGAACTGGAGCAGCATCAGTATAATCTACGAAACGCTCGCCGGTCGCAAGATACTCAGCGTCAGCTTCAGCTATGGTTGTCTCAAGCTCCTAGTATCGCTCCGAGTGTCGCCCCGAGCACCAGCACCTCCTCTCCTTCGAAAAAGGGCATGCTGGGCAAGGTCTGGGATGGCGTTCGAGGTCGGCTTCAGCTCAAGAAAGATACCCCCTCCCCTGAACAGAAGAAGAAGGCAGATTCGCCGCCCAAGAAGCCAGCAACAGCAAATATTTACGACGACAGGCCCACTAGAGAAGAGGCCCTGGCGAGTTATCATTTGTTGGTTGAGTCGGGCTTCTTCACTTCTCATGCCATTCAGTCTACCCGACAACCTCCCCCGCCGGGTTTTGTAAAGCAGCGACCAGCCACCAGCCACCAGGTGCTCTCCGTCTCGACACCGCCGCGAGCACCACAGCCTCTCCAAGCCCCCCCTTCATTGCCTCCGCCTCCGAAATTCCCTCTCAACACCACACCTAAAACACCTAGGAGTACTAGGAGTAACAGGACGTCTTTATCCGCCGTGACCCCGGCGAGTGCCGATTCGAGAGGCACCAAACGGACTGTAAATGAAAGCACCAACAACGATATCCTGATCCACCAGGACGAGAGGGAAAAACCGGAAGTTCCTAGAGAGGCGCGCAAGAAGATCCGTAAGAGTACTTCTAAAGACTTCACTATTCCTGTTCTTCGTACCGTTAAGTCTCGACGGAAACTCACGGGTAGCCGATCAAATCGCCGAAAGAGTCAAGGCAACGCTGGTCTCCCGCCTGTGGTAATACACCACTACCATAGTCACAGTGCATCAAGTCGAGACTCCAAGCATAGCAAGCGTTCTTCTCACTTACTGTGCGCAGCCTCGCCATCATCCGCAGGATCATCACCCCGAAGCTCCCTTGACTCTACATCGTCATGGAGAGAGAGTGGTGAAAGCGTCTACAGCGTTCGGGCCATTGGCTCTGGCTCCAAGAGCTCTCGTGCCCTCAGGCCGAGAAAACCTGCGGCCAAGGCTGGCGCCACTAATACTGCTGATGCTGATGCAACGGAGCCTCTCAAGGTGGTTCCCAATGCAAACCGAGGAATCCCCGGTGTTCCAAGCATTCCCGCCAAGTATACCTTTGGAGAAGATCGAGAAAATGGACAGGCCTGGCGAGGGCTGAGACGGTGAAGACTTCTATTCGCATTAACTACTATTATTGGACTTTGTCGCGGGCGTTGTCGGATCCACATTTTTTCCATCTCAAAATCTGTTTTTCTTGAATCAGCCGGGATTCAATATTTAACGAATTTCTTTTCTCTCTATCACGAGATATGATATGAATTTTTATCGAATTTTTTTTTTCTTTTCTTTTCATATACCCCATCCGTTCGGAGGGCGACCAGAAAATCTCTAGAAAACACCAAAAAAATGGAAGAAAATACACAAAAAACTCAACAACCGATGTAATGATCCAACAACCGTCTATGCTTCCCAGCAGCGCAGGCGGAAATTTTATCTTTCGTTGTTAACAAAACATGTCTTGATTTGCAAGGGACGTTGTGCTTTGTTACGGTATGTGTCACGACAAAAGGAACAATATATGAAACTCACGTATATATACGACTTTGACGACATTTGTGCAAATATGCGGCAAGCAGCGACGGAACAAGGGAGGATCAATAACAAAAGGTTCAATGGAGAGATGGAAGAAGGGAGAAGATGAGAAAGAAATGTCCTTACCTGTCACTCTATCTATATATGACCCTGCGGGAAACGGGCATTTCGTTCTTCTTTTTCTACTGGGAAATCCTATCCTTTTAGGATCTTCTTTTGTCTGAAAGCTGTTTGCTTGCTTTTGAAATTTTTTGATTTTCAGTTCGCAAGAGGGGAAAAAACAGAAAAGGAAACCATTGCTATTCTTTCAAACATTCGTTTACATATTCGGATCTCTTTTCTTTTCTCCACCACGGCCCTTTCTACCTCCCCTACATAAGAATCGGTGATGTTACATCGATCGATAAGGGAGGGTAGGAGAAGGCTAGGAAAGAGAAAGAAGGATCTTAATAATGATATGATGACTTTCTTAAGGGGGTGAGGAAAGGAGGATGATTGTACTAATAGGGTATTGCTTTTTTAACTTATTTTATGAATGACAAGAGACATTACATCAATCTTTCGTGTTGTGTATGCTGTGTTGAATTGCCTACTTTTGATGAATGATTCTATTGATTCCTAATTTCCATTTAAATGTGTGTTAAACACCTCTTGAGATTCTGGCAGACGAAGTTGTCTGTAATACTGTCCTTAATACTAGAGATAAAACCCGGGTTTGTATTTCTTTAAATAATAAGAAGAGAACAAACAATCTTGGCATTCACTAGACACACATGAGATCTATTTACAGTAGAAGAAGTTGTAGTTATCGTGAAAATTCTTAAATTGCATGTCTATCCTACTATCCAATAGAGTGCACGGGTTTCTACCTCAGCACAGATAAAATTAAAGATAGACAGAGAGAAGAGAGAAAAGCAAACCAGCAGCATTAAATAGAATAATTTAAATCCCTTTTTGCGTTCTCCGAGCTTAGCAAGACAGAGAAGACGAAAAACGGAAAGAAAAAAAGAAAAAAAAAGAAAAGAAAGGGGGAATCCCCTTTTGCGTTCTCTAATCTTAGCAAGACAGAGAAGAGGAAAAACGGAAAGAAAAGGAAAAAGAAAAAAGGAACAATCTGTTGCACCTCCCTCCATCAGCCAGCCCCATCTATACCAAGCACGTTGCTCCCCTCCGACTCCTCCCTGTCCCAGTATCAATCCAGCAAATAATAAGAAAACACCCTCACCCCTTGCTATTCCCACGCAGAACGAAAGCCGCTCGTTCGCCGGCCCATTTCTTTGAGACCATGTCACTTGGACATGAGAAAAGGTGGTGTGAAAAAGAAAAAGAAGGAAAGAAAAAAAGAAAGAAAGAAGTCCCATATCCATATTCATGCATTCTTCCATAACAGTAGTGTTCCCATAATAACAGTCGTCTCAATGTGAAATGAAAGCAAAAACATATAATGAATAAAGATATTCTACATAAGAGATGCTTAAGAAAAAGGGCCAAAAAAAAAAAAATAACGGGGGGCCCAGTAAAACAATAATTTCCACACAACGCGAAAATAATCGCTAATAAGATGCCGGTAGAGAAAAACATCTCAAGCATAGCAAACTCCTTTCCGGAAACGAATAACATCTCGGTTCATTCCACTTGTGCGCCAAGCCAATCCACAAACATCCCAAGATAATCGAAAAGAAGAAAGTAGGAAAATCAACAACAATGTCGCCATCATGTTAAGCCAGCGCGAATTTCATGAGCTGACCGATCTCGAATAGTGCGTGAAGCAAAGGTACGTCCTGCTACAACAATAGCCCGGATAGTATCCCAGATCAAAGCAAAAAGTCCAGGGAACCAGTTATAAAGCAGCGCGCAGACCATAGCCAAAAGGAGAGGGATCTATAGAAGAGGAAAAAATCGGTCAGTATATAGATTTCCAGTATTAAATAGCGAGGATGGCTTTCTCAACCACTTACCCAAATAAAGAAGAGGTTCCGATCATTGCTAATCTTCTTTAGCTTTTGCTCCCGAGCTCTCAAAAAGTTTTCTTGTTGTTCCTTTGTGATAGCATGCTTGCGTCCAATTTCAAGGATCTCCGGGATCTCGGTCGTAGTGACAGATTTCTTGGCCACAGTCACTGACGAGTGCTGCTGCTGCTGCTGCTGCTGCTGATCGTATAGCTTCGAGTACTTCAAGTCAGCCTCTGCTTCAAGAGCCGCGCGAGCCGCCGACTGAATCTTAATGTCTTTGTCCGCTTCAGGATAAATGTCTTCGTAAGCAGGGGGTGCCGCCGATGCACCATTCATGTATGATGAGAGATCCCACCAGCGACCATCTACCTTTGCCTCATTGTCGCCGTGGGTATCTGGGCGGTTGCCGGTCATGTTGGGCATCAGCTGCTGTACCCTGCGGATAAAAGGCGCTTGCTGAAGGTAGGCCTGGTAGTCGGGCAGAGCCTGCATACCGGCAAAGGTTGGCATTTGAGGAATCTGAGGGAGATGTGTAAAGTTTTGGAGCTGCTGGGAAAGCTGCTGCTGGAACTGCAGAAGCTGCTCTTGGACCTGGTTCTTGAGCGCAGCCGCCAATGCCGTGGTCTGCGTCGCTACACTGTTATTAGCGTCATCGACAACAGCAGCAGCAACTTCTTCTAGCACAACGCCCTTGTCTAGTCCGATGCCGCTTGGTCGCCTCATCTGGAGGAGGTCATTATCATCCGAATCTTCGTCTTCAAAGTCGTCGGTTGTGTACTCGGGGCTTTCTTCGCTCGGATCCAAAGAAATGGGTTCTTCGTGAGTGTGGGCTCTAGTCAACGGTTCCCACAGCGAGCGCAGAGAAGCGGCACTGCTAGAGGTGCTCTGAAGAGATCCTCCGCTGCGGGAGCGGTTGTGCTTTTGCGTGCTACGAATAGTGCGAACGACAGCTCTCGACTGGGCTACGTCGACGGCAGTTAGGCTCGATAAGCTTCGGATTGTTGGATCAGCTCCTGCAAGCAGTAGTCGTCGCGCAATTTCTGGGTGATTATAAAGAGCGGCGAAATGCAGAGGAGTGAAGCCACCTCTGTCACGGACATAGGGGCTTGCGCCGCGGGCGAGAAGAGCAGCGACCAAACGGTGATAGCCCTGAGAGCAGGCCAAATGTAGCATAGTGTGTCCAGAGGACCCCTTCAGGTCCAGCTGCGTCCTGTGAGGACTGTCATCCAGATCGATGAGGTCAAGAACTCTGAGAAGCTGAGATTCAAGGTGTGTCTCATTCGGCGCCGCCTGGTGGTATACAGGGCCATTGCCTGACGAGCCACCATTAGAAGATGGCCCATTGCCCCAGCTTGAGCCGCCATCGTTTAGAATCCTGTGTGCAAGTTCATTCACGTCGACAGCCCGGCCGGACATCTTGTGGCCCAGTACAGCAAGAGCGGTACGGATTAAGATGTCTTCGGTATCATCGATATATTTGAACATTGGGGGCTGCTTGGCGATGGGGAAGCCAAGCGCTTCTTGCCGTCCGAGCGTCACAGGGACTGGGCCCGCAACTGCAGAAGGAGGTAGCAGGCATACCAGCGCTTGCGGTCCCCAAAAGGTGGTTGTAATAGCCTTGACGCTGCCAAACCAAACCTCATGCCCTTGGATAAAAGAAGCTCCAATGACGGTAACCTCGATGCCGCCCACCTTGGGGCCCTCGCCAGGGATAACCTTGTGGACTATAGGAATTGCCACCTGCTCGTTTACTGAGGCTGGAGGCATCGCATAGAGGCCACGGCCAATGGGCTGTGAGAACTGGCCAGAGAGTTGGCTAAGCGATGCAGAGTTAACGCCATTCCGGAGCCCGCTAGGGCTAGGAGCACGACTGGGATGGCTGGATGTTGGAGCAGAATAAAGCTGGGCCATGGCCAAATTATCCATGCTCTCAGAGCGTCTATTGCCGAAAAATGGGACTTGTTCGTTACTATTGGGCGTAGTGGGTCCATTCGTAAACGGGATTTGGGTGTTATTCATGGTGCCAAACATTGCCTCGGGCGTCGAGAAAGTGTGTGGATTGGGTGAGAAGGGCGAGGTTGCGGCAGACACGTGCTGACTCATGTTGTTTTGAGCGGGCACGTTTGGCGAGGCATCCATACGTGTCATGGTTAAACCATTGGGTACTCTACCAGAAGCACTCGATTTCCTCTTCTTGGCAGGGCCGCCCTGGCTAGGCGAAGGAGGCCGTGATAGGGACCGCCCAGACACTCCTGCCGCGGCCATGGTAGGAGTATTTTTCCCAGATGATGGAGCGTATGGGGCAGCCTGGCCATTGCTGCTTTGCATTGCGGAAGGAGAGAATGCAAAGGGAGAGCCCGGCTGTGTTTGCATCCCCAGATTGTCGGTATCCATGGGCTGCTGCAGTGAAGAGCTCGAAACGGCTTCTGACATGGCCGGCTGCCCCAGCTGCTGCGTCATGGGGTTAGTCTTGTGGTCATCGGTAATCATAATCGGGTTCGACATGGCCTGCGCAATGACGTTGTCCTTCCAGTCTTTGATGGTGAAGATGACGTTGAAGCCCATCTTCTCGCCATGGTGGCGGCAGTAGCAGGCAATTCGCATAGGGGCGTCAACTTGCATGGCGCGAGGGTGTCGATTCTGCTCTGGCCGTCCATGGTTGTCCAAAATACCATTGATGGGCTGCCAGTCTTTGATCTCCGAAGTGTTGAACACAACGACACGGCGCTGCTCATCCTGGCTCCACATCTGATCTTCTTCGGGTTTCTTGACCTTCTTCCTGGCCGCTCTCTTGCGCTCTCTTGTGATACAGCCAGCACAGATGCGAACGTCGCCTCCTTTCTGTGCATTGAGCGGATCATTATCTTCCGGGAGGTAGCCCTGGGGACTCGAAGCAGCCCTCTCCAAAGCTGCCTTTCGCTTATCTGGCTGATCCATGGCACTGGTACAGACCAAACTGACAAAAAGTTCGAGGGTATCGGGAGACTTCTGCGCAGCAGGCTTCGCCATGAGTTTAGGTTTAGAAATTGTGTGAGGTGGCAAATGCAATTTGGTGATCCCTGGTGGGAGCGGGTCTAGTGCCATCTTTATGGGAATCTGTGTCTCTACACGGGACTTGAGGGGTGTCGGGAAGATTTTGAGCTCATATCCCCCGGTAAAGTTGTATGCGGCGGGTTTGTTAATGTCATTAGCACTGCTTTGCTCGCCAATGCCGTTGGAGAAGTTGATGCCGTAGTTGGAATTTTCAGTGAAAAGAATGTTGTCATTCTTGAATGGCGGGATGCCTTGCGGAAATAATGAAGTTTGGATTTGTGATACTTGGGCATTGAAACTCGAATGGCTGGGCAGTGTATCCGAGATGTTTGGCGGAGAGTTCAGCGATGTTCCCCACATGGCATGGAGACCTCTTGGGGAGGGTATTTTGAATATAGCGCCCGCTGGCGATCCATCATGACTAGTTACCATGTTCGACATTGGCGACAATTCTCGCGACGCCTCTCTGGTTTGTCCCATGGATGCCGCTGAGTACTGCAGTAAAAATTGTTAGCCCTGGGTCAGCAAGGTCACCAAAATTGCATTCACGTACCGAATTCTTCTTCTGATGCCCATCATGCGTTGGTATCGGCAGGTCCACGTTTGCCGAATTGTTAGTCTTGATGGCGGGCATGCTGGGAGAAGGAATGGTTGCGAGGCTGCTCGGCGTGTTGTCAAGATTTCCCGAAGGGGCTGGTGGGAAATCAAACGCATGGCCCATGAAGGTATCTTCGCGGTCACCACCAAAGCCGGGAAAGATAGTCATGTCCAAGGCTTCATCTTCGCGAGTAAACGGATAGGCTGGGTCGTCCTCGCTCAAGTCGGGAATATCCCGGTTTCCCCAATCCATGGTGTCGTCTAATTCGTCGGTCGCTATTATGTCTGCTGCTGGTGTCTTTGCCGGCGTGCAGCTTCCTGTCCTTTTTACGGAAGCGGTAGAGTCCGAGGAAGAATCTGGTAATGAGCCGTTGGGCGAGTCGGGGAAGCCAACGTTGGCGATTAGCTCCTGGGGATTGAGAAAGGCTTTCTGCTGGTTTGACCCAAGGCTTGCTAGGCTTTGCAGGTCGTCTGGGGTGGGAGAGAAGCGCAAGAAGTTGGAGGCCACCGCAAGTTCATCGTCGGACAGATCCCGGAATTCGTCGTCGTGCATCGAAGACGCTCCTACAATGAGCGGGCTGCTAGCACCTGGTTGTGCAGTCGGGGTCATGGCCAGCTGGCGTCCACTGTCCACGTGTGGGTTGATCGATGTAGGCGGCTGGCCGGTAAGGTTGGAGTGGCAGGTTGAAAAAGGAAGAAGCAGAGGCTGCGCGGCAGTTTTGGCGGTGCGCACTATTGGAAGCAAGGCGATCTTTTTCCACGCGGTACTCGCCAGCGGGGGTTTGCTAGTGCAGACAGTCGCTGTGGGCAGCCGGTTGTACTGTGGAGTGGCGGCGATTGCTAGCGCCAGGCGACCCAGCGAGTGCGCTGGTGCTTTTTCAGGGACCAGCCACAGACGCCTCCTCTGAGTCTCTGATAAGCGAGCGCTACTTGGCTGCTTGTATACTGCGCCGCACCCGAGGTCGCCCTCGCACTGTCTTTGGTTTGAGTGAGACGAGCCCTTGTCTATGCATATGCACCCTTTATAAAGTCAATCCAGCAGTATCATTATCTCTCAGGTACATGCGATGCAGCACGGTGCAGAGTGCTAGGGATGAGCAATGCAGCCCGTTCGTCACTTTGGCCAGGGCCTACTGCGGCCTGACCAATGATCACGCGGCGGCCACGTACATTGCTGGGTAGCGCATGTAGCTACTGCGACCTGCTGGGTAGTCGGCCGCGCTCTCCTATATCATTACTCCTACCGCCAACCACAGGCAGGTACCCAATATAAGCGGCACGTCTCCCAGCAATACTTCCGGAGCTTTGCAAGAGGCAGTAGCGGCGAGGCATGAGTACTTAATCCCCCTACAGCACAGTATAAATTCAGTGCAGACAAGTTGCTCTACAAGCAAATAGACCGACCTAGAACTCGGCATCGTCAACTTCCAAGGCTCCAGGCCTCGCTGGCCGCCTCTTTCGCACAGCGGCTGCCTACTGACGATGAAGCTGCTTCACCAGCCTGCCATCTCGTCGTTCCCCAACAATCAATGCTGTCATCAGGCCGAGTCCCCGCCCCGGTCCTTCATTACGCAAGCCCCTCCCGGGGAATCTTGAGAGCACCAGCCCGTCCCCAAACGGCAGGCCTGCCCCGATGGCCCCGGGGACCGCGGGTTTGCCGATCTGACAGCAGCTGTCTTCCAACCAACTCTGGCACCAGCCGAGGTGCCTGGGAGCTGCTTGTGCCTGTGCGTTGCAATTGTGCGACTATGACTGGGCACTGCGTAGCTTTCCGCAATACATACAAGACAAGCCCCAATCACTAATCATGGCTGCTCCAATCACCGCTCGCCAAAGCGGCCTTTGTAAGCTACACACGGAGTACAGAGATTCTGCGTTCCTCGTCTCTCCCACTTTGGGCTCAAGACTTCCCAGCCGCCACAAGCCTCAGCCTCGACTTAGATACCCATCAGATATAATTTGCGTACAGCCCAATTCAAGCCACTGATAACCGTATAAACTTTTACCCAAGCCTTCACGTGAGCAAAATTCAGAAACGTGCATCAAATATGCTTTGCGGACGTTTTCAAGGGATCCAATACTCCACGATACTGCACACAAACAGCCTTGTTGCGCACCGGCACGTTCAAGCTGTCTCTCTTCAGCAGCATCAACCACCTCCTACTGGGTATTACCCGTCAATATTACCAATATGTACCAGCAGCGGCGCCCAGAAGCTCCAGCCCTCAACGCTTCTTCCTGAGGTACAGGAACACCCACTCTTTAACCCGCAAGTACCTGCATGGTACCTCAAGCCGCTGCAATGGCCACCGCATAATGTCCGTATCGGCTCCGTACCTACAACAGCCAAGCGAATCTTGCTCCTCTATTGCATCGCATCCCCAACGAAAAATAATGACTCTCACTCACAGCCACATTGCATTTCGAAAGCCCAGATTCCACATCATTCGCGCAACGGATATATCGTCGCAAAAAAAGAAGAAGAAGAAAAGCCACCGAGTAGAAGAAAAAAAAAATTAATGAATAAAATAAAAAATAAATTACTGCCACTTGGCCATACTACTACCTAGTACTAGTAAATCTGAACAATGGTGGTGGCGCCCATGGCGAGCTACTGTAATTTTTCTATTTTTTTTCTCCAGAGTTTCTCAATCCGCCATCCACGTTTGGACACAACTATAAATTATCATTCCCACTTGCGTGCCGACGTACCTACCTGGTTGAAAAGATCATGTTTCCGGAACCTACCGACCTAAGGTAGTTAGTACTGGTAACCAACTCTACTCAACACAGAGTTTTGTCTATGAATTGATGATGCCGCCGTGTGACCGATGCGGGCGTTCCTGCAGCTTGTACCTTGCCCTAGGTTTCAGGTGGTACACCAGCAAGCTTGACAAGATGATGGCTGTCGATCTCATGTACATGCAAAAAAGTTTAAAAAAAAATACGAAAGACTCCATTTGCTTGGAATTGAGTTTTATATAGAGAAATATGAATTAGTGAGCAAATTGCAGCGGTCTGGCCGCCATTTGGCCACGTACGCCGAAGCATCTTGGAGCATTTCTCCGCGTCTTATATCCACCTACATATAGGTGGATATAATATCCCCTCATCGCATTGAAAGCCACCTCAGATGAAAGCCACCTCTGAGGTGGCGCCCCGAAGAGGTCTTTTACTTCTTTTATCTTTATTCCCTTTCTTTTTTCTTTATATCCTTTTATATACATATATATATATATATATCCTTTCTTTTTGTATATGTGTGCGTGTATGAGTGAGTTAGATACCTACAACATATCATTGCGCTATATCAAGTACCCTAATAGAACTCATCTTGCACATACCTATATAGGTAGTACTTGCCTATTATTTGATAGTCTCTCTATAGTTAGCTTCTCCCGCCAAGTTTCGTCAATTTCCTAATTAAGCAATATCTATGGTATCATACAATGGCTAGAAACCAAGATACGCTAGGCAATTACTGCAACTATAGATGCTACATACCATGCCGGAAATCAGGAGCACCAGCTCAGCTCAGGCACTCGCCCTTCCCGAGTTTCAAATATTGTTCTCTAATAAGATATCTTCTGTCGTTGATCCTGTTGTTCTTGTAGGATTCACCGTAAATAAGGGTAGGTAAGTCCGTACAACGACCTCTTTCTTCAAGTTGAACTCTTCATAGAAGTTCACTACAGATGCATATTAATCCAACTATAAACCCTCAGCTCTGCAAAAAGAGAGCCAACTCCATATAAACCCCCATCTCGCTTGTAGGATTCAGACCGAGAACGTCCCCGAATCTAAATGAATGGTCGCCAACCCATTGCATTGAAGTGTAAATTGGATTTTAGCGTAAATATGCTTGGTTCCAAAGATTAATTCTCTGCCGACTTAGACTCAGGAAGTTTGTCACCGGACGGCGGCGCGCTATGTTGTGGACCTTCAGATGATGATGAAGCCACGAACTCTACCAGCCTTGGTTCCGGCTCGTCATAAAACCGGATTTCACGTCTGCGGGCCGGCATTGCGTCCTCTTGCGAGGAATCATCCTCGCCACTGGCGCTGGGCCTAGGAGGTACGGTATGGAGCATGGGATGAGGCTTAGAGGGCCCAGAAACAGTTGCGCTGCTCAGAGGATGTCCGCCGGCGGCGGCATCGACAGTAGTTTCGCCGTCTCCCTTTTTACTAGATAACCACTTAGACACGGAAGATATGCGTGAACCTATCCGTGAACCTATGCGCGAGTTGCCACCACTGTTGCTGACGTTCTCACTCAACACTCGAGAGATTGTCCGAGGCATGAGATACCCTATTTTACCAAGGGGAATGCTCAATCCATGGACGACCTTGCAAAATCAAAACCATTAGTTATTGCAGTGCGTAAAGGATAGTAATAGCAGTGAGAATGAAAACTTACCACGCTGCAAACAGTGAGGAACCAAACCACAATTCTCACCATTTCGCCTAAATCCTTGACGTCGCTTCTCGGGTTGCCCTCTTCATCACTCAAGAACTTTTCGATGAACTCTAAAGTAATGAATAGATAGAACACCGCCGATACGCCGATGGGGCCAAAGAATCCAACAAAGAGAGCCTGGTGCCTCTCTGTGATTTGGTGGATCCATTTGTGCAGGCCATAGATCCAGGGCAGCCGCCTCACGAGCATCACAAGGATACCAAGCGGCACTAGCTTGTATATAGGGATGAGTGTGTTATGGCGGAATTCAGTCCACGGCAAGTATGCTCCGTACCAGAGAAAGATGGAGACGTTTAGAAGCATGTCAACCGTAGGCTGCAGCGAGTCATCCAGCGTTTCAAGGCGGAACCAATCATCCCAAGTGAAAGCATTTCCGGCAATGAAGCAGGCCAGAACGTCGTCTGTGCCGATTAGCCCGCATGTGCCGAGAACGAACAATGCCAAGGATACGGCAGAGACCAAAAAGCTCTCCCGATCGACGTAGTTGCGTTTCACAGCCCAACGGAGCAGCTCTTTGGCCACCAATCCCACAACAGCGCCGTAGATGACGCTCAAGATGATGGTATAAGCCCAAGTATACGCGAACCAGAGCCCCATGGCCTCTCCGGCTCCACCAAAAGTAGCACCAGAGCCGACAAACTTGATCAGATACAAGGAAAAAAAGAGAAAGGGGTAGCCTAACCCGTCATTCGCACCAGACTCAGCAACGATAAGGTTCTGTAGTTCCTTGGGGATGTTGTTATCAGCAAACTTCCCCTTGACAATAACCGCAGACAGCACAGGGTCCGTAGGCGTGACACAGGCGCCCACGGCCAGGGCATGCAAAAAGTTTGGCATCCCAGCAAGGGCCCAGACAAGAAAGCTCGTAGTGAGCCACATCAAGGTCATCCCAGGGCCGAGCAGCAGCATGAGAGACTTGCGCTCCTTCCAGAGATACTTGCTGGGCAGTTGCACGCCCGCAATTACCAGCTGGACACCCAGAACAAGTCGAGAGAAATTGAGCGTGATGGTTCCCAGCCGCTGGTCAATACATTCGGCCTTGCTGATGGTAGACGTGCTGCATCCAGCATAGGCATCTGGCCGAATGAAGTCGGCGCCATGAGGGCCGAGGGCAACGCCAATGAGGAGAGATATGACTGCAGCGCCCCGCTATTAGCCATCATGCAGATGCAGGTCTAGAAAGAGAAAGAAGTCCTCGACTATCGAAAAAAATCATGTCTCGGACAGTCCAAGACACGTTACTCATGCAGGCGGATGAGGGCCGCTGCTGGTTTCGGTTTTCCCCCGCAACATAAAATTGATGCAAGGAGATGAGAACAAGCAAAAGAAGGAGCAAACTTACGAGCTTCAGATAGGTAGTAATTCTCCTTCAAGAGGTACGACACCAGCCCAAACAGCGATATGAAGCCCCCCAAAACAGCGACCACAATGTTAAAGTTGGACAGCGCCAGCGGCACAGCCCAGATGTTGTCAACCATGGCGATAGCGCCTCAGCTAAATGTTAGCAAATCGAGAATCGAGTTGCCGTAGTGACTAAGACAGCAAAGATCATTCTTTTTTCAAAGAGTCCCCGGGTCCTGGAAAGCTTCGAAGCAGGGCCTCTTCGCAGTCTCTGGGAGGAAAGCCCTTTTCCGCAGACGAACAGGCGTTATCCGACTGAGTGACGCAATAGGAAGAGTCGTATTAGATGACGCAACCCAGGTTCAGAGATAGGTAATTTGCAGGAGGAAAAAGAAAATTTATCCAATCGGTCTCTTAACTATTGCATGCAGCAGCGGAACTTTGCATGAACCAAGTTCCGCCGTTTCGACGTCAAAGGCGAGAGCAAAAGGTTGTCGAGCCAAGTAGCCAATAGAGGCCTGCACCCGGCCCAAGAACCCCGGTAAAGTGGCGTCGACCGGTGAGCGCGAAACCCCCCACAGGAACAGCACATTTTGGGGGCCAGTCCGCGAAGGATGTGAAGTTTTTTAATATCGGGTCCGAGTCAGAGTCACATCCCCTGTGATATGCCAAGCCAAGGATGACAAAGAGAGTCCGGCAACTCTCCGGAATTCTGCGCGAAGGCGGTGGATAGAATTTGAGAGAAAGAGAAAACCATTCGCAGTACGAAATTGTGTTCATTTTTAAGGTAAAAATAATTGCTACCTTAATGCATGTATGACTAGGAGAAGCTGCTAAACCTACTGTGAAACAAGCAAGTATTACCAAATATAAACATCTTGGTATCAACCACCATCCTTCAAAAAAAAAAAAAAAGGAGATGTAAAATATAAAACTCCTATCCAGGGCTCCATCCAGTTGCCGTTACAATCATTAGTGTCCCATGCCCAACTCCACGGTATGCTATTTTCCCGCCGTAGATCATTCGTATCTCTCCCTCGTAGATCGTATATTGCAGCTGCGCCTGTCAAAGGGTAGACATAACACCCGTTGCTTAAAACCCAACTTCATCATCCCCATCCACGGCGTGGGAAACGCTGTGTCGGTGTGCGCTCATCATGCCTTATCATGGAAGGTTAGCGCCCATGACGGCCAGCCGATCTGCAGCAATGTTGCCATGATTTGTGGCATGGCCCTTTACCCACTGGAAGTAGGTATTGCCTCCAGCCTTGGTTCGCTCATCTATCTTCTTAAGGATAGGCCGTATAATTTCATGATTCTTAACATCATCGCCGTTGGCTGTTTTCCAATTCTTTTTATTCCATCCAATAGGCCACTCAGTTACACATTTGATGGAATACTGGCTGTCGCTGTAAATGCGAACGGTCTGGGCTGCCGGTACAGATTCCAAAGCCCGCAGCATAGCCATGAGCTCTGCTCGCTGGTTGGTCTGCTTCTCGCCAGGTAATTTTTCTGCGAGATTGCGGGGGTCATTTTCTCCAAAATAAACGCCCAGCCCAGCGCGGGCGCCCTTTCTGCCGTTGGCTAGGCTGCTCCCATCGGTATATATGTCGAGGACATCCTCTCGAGGCTTAGTGTCAATCTCATTGTCCCTAATGATGGGAGTGAACTTCTTGATAGTGAAGAGCTGTTCTTCAACCTCCACCTTCTGCACAGGCTCCACCTTCTCTCCCAATGCCTCTATCGCCTCCTTATTGCCAAATTGTCGGATGTATGCCACGGCCTCTGCCCTAGTTGAGAAACGCTTGTATTTGGGACCCTTGATGCCCGTGATGGCCTTTTGAGCTTCCGACCAGTCTGTGAAGATGCCTGTCGGGTCGCCAACGGCAACCGCGTAGAACTTTTCGGGCTCATCTGCCACAGCGACTTTCTTCCCAGCGGCGAAGGCTTCGGCGTCTTCTCTTGAGAGAAAGGATTTGACTAAATGCAGGATTACAACGATTAGCTATAGTTTTCTCTCTCTTTTTCCTATCCTTCCACCGTAAAATGCAATTCCAGCATTGCAGTCACTCGTCCGTATAAATAATAGATTCTTTTTTTTTCCGAGAAAAAAAAAAGGTCACTCACAAACAGCGCCCTTGAATCCAGCCGTCTGAGCCTGGCACTCCGCGTACGTCAAGTACACCCCAGGGACGAAGCCCGCTTGCACGGAGTAGTATTTCTGAACATTTTCCATCTTTCTCTTCTTGGAGGCACTTGATGTCGCAGCGCTGCTTGAGGCTGGCCGCTTGTTTTTGTTGCTGGGCATGGTTTCAGGCATGGTGGTGGTGGTATCAGATATACCACCGGAAGGACCAGAAAACGCGGAAACAGGCGAGTCGGGGCTCAGCTCATAATATTGTCGCGCCAGGGTCGGCGCTGCAGTCAATTGCGATTGCGGCCTGACCGCGGCCTGCCACACCACAGGGTACAATCGGCGGTGGGTGGCGGCAGTCCGAAGAACAGCGCTTGTTATGCCGTTGGCGATGCTGTTCGCACAAGGCTGAGGGCGAAGTCGCATAAGCTTCACATCAATGGCATGGCGAATCGCCAACGTCGAGGGGGCCGGCCGGGGCTTATGAACGGGAGCTGGAGCCGGAGCTGGAGATGAAGGCCTGCGCTCGGACAGTCGGCGAGAGAGGCGAGAGGCAACGAAGCGAAAGGGGGGGGTTTTTTTTTCGTTTGGGGGGTTTCTTGTTGTGCCCTTGGAGCAGAGCAAGGCAGAGCAGCCGCCAACGGGCCGCGTGATTCGCGCAAACTTTGGGAGGGGCAGCGCTGCCCGCTTTCCCGCACAGCGCGGTGGAGCCGCCGCATAGCGCCTGGTCGCATTTGCCGCGATGCTACCCCAGCAAAGTGAGGCGCCCAAACCCTGCTGTGATCTCTCGGTGTTTAGGGTAGCTTTGGGGCATCTCTGCCGCCCAGCCCTCCAAGCCTAGGCCCATGACCGGCTGTGTACTGCTGGATGCGTCTGCCGCTGCAGCTCTTGGTGGTGGTTCATCATCAACATGGTAGGTGACTTGTCCATGTTTCAAACTCTCAGTTTTCAATATCAAAGAGGCTGGTTGTTTCCGGGTCAAAACTAAGGGACCTCCTAGGCCGCCGATACATATGTATATGTACTACTATCCATCCGTCTATCACGTTGCCTTGGTCAAGCCGCAGGTTGCCAGTTATCAGCCAGTCATTGTCCTTCGCCTGCCACTGTATCAAGAAATTACATTTATATTCTTACTTTTTTGCTCTCCTTTCTGTCTTGTTTCCGTTTCAAAAAAAAACAAACATAAATTAATAATCATCTTTATCCGTTCTAGTCTGGTCCGTCAGTAATCCATTCGCCGTGCCATGCTAATAAAACCACAACTTTTCCATTGACAAAATAACTCGATGCCGTGTACTTCGTACCGAGCCCCTTCAGCGAATAGAGGATTTTCTAACCCGTCTTCTGTATCTTGCAGCTCTACCCTCTGTCGTCGCCAACAGCCTTTAGTTGTAGTAGTATGCATTTTCCATGATAAATTATTCGTACAAAAAGATGCGGCTGTCCGCAGCAGCAACAACAATAGCGCATCATACCTATATTACAAGCACGCCACGCAGCTAGGGCGCGCCAATATCGCCCGGGGAGCTTGGTTGTCTGGCACTGCCTTAGCCAGCAATGGCAGTACTGAGTCTCATATCGTCCTTGGAGGTGGTAATCCTAAACGTGAGTGGTTGGGTCGACAGGGGGGAGGTCAGGTACGCCGTCGCCTTCCCACTCCCATGCCAGCAAGCTCCAGTTGAGCTCACGTCTCCAGAAAAGACCCAATCCTCGTCCACCTCCATCAGGACGATCATCTGCGCTCAGGCCACCCGTGCGAGGCATATGGCAACAGAACACTGCCTTCCCCATGCGAGAGTGCAGTACGGCCATGGAGCACGCAACACAGGGCTCATGGGTGGCATAGAGCTCTAGTCCGTGACATAAGTAACCATCCTTGTTTGGATGCTCTTGCTTGAAGCACTCCTTTTCGAGCTCAAGCATAGGCGTGTCCTGGAAGGCGTCAAATTCTAAGACGGGGCGCTCCATTGGCTGTTCAGCGACCGCTCGCTCGTACCGGACGAGTTTCTGAGCCACCATGCTCATAGCACGCAGGACACAGTGCGACATTGGGTTGTTATCGAGACCGAATCCATTCTTTTGATAATGTCTCGCATCTCCAGCAAGCCCAACAAGCTCTGCACCTTTTTCACTTCTTTGAACTATCACGGCCCCCATAGCTTCTCCAATACCCGCTTCCTTAGCCTGAAGGGCAACACGATGTGCCAGTGCGACCCAAATTGGTGCGTCATTCTTAATGTCTTCTGTGCCACGGGCGAACATTCCCGGATGGGGGCCTAGGGGATTATTCTTGCGGTAGACTGTTGGCCAAAACTGTGCACTCCACATAGCGGCCTGAATTTGAGACGTTGGTGCCATCATGGGAACAGGGATAATGCTCAAGAATGGCTCTTTCTCAACTCCTTCTACTCCAGAAAGCAGCCCAATAAGCTCATCACGGGAGAAGTCTTTGGACTCGCCTACTACGACATAGATCCAGGTTGATTTCGAAGTGTGAATTTGCCGACCGGTTGGAGTGTCATTCATCAGCTGTGTCTTCAGGTGAGCCGGGAGGTCCGCTGGCTTCGCACACCTTCGCAGGTGCGGTAAGGTATTAGCATTACCGGCATTGCTCAAGTCGCGCAAGAGTCTGGAAAACGAGTCAGTATATTGGAGAATGTATAAGAGATTTCATGGTATAATGTGAAATTTGCAATCAACCGAAGGTTATTTTGCCAAGGAAGCTATTTAAAGAGAGAGAGAAAAGAAATAGAAATGGTCACTTACGTGACAAAATTATTGGCAGACTTGGTCGGGACTCGAGTGATGTACGCGTGCGAGATGTAGTGATCCTGATAAACCTCCTGGTCCGTTTTTAGGGGAATCAGAACGCCCAGAGGGAGATTTTGGGCTCTAAGATCATCGATCATAGGGTTAGGTAAAGCAAGCCTTCCCAAACGGACATCTTTATTGTTTGCATTCTCAAGTTTCGCGTTGGCGGGCTCGTCAAAATAGTCTTCCATTTCAACAGCCATTTTGCTCTGGTGAAATTGAAATCGTCTCCGCCAAAGAAAGCGGAAAGGAAATGCCTTGGAATAGTTATTGGCAAACAGCTGAGTTCAGCTAGTAGGAATGTCGTTCAGTAACAGAGAGATTTGAAGTACCGATGGACAAGCGCTCCTATGTTTGCATTCCGAGCGTCGTGGCAGCTATGGAGAAATGCCAAATGGATGTCTGTTGATGCTGACGATACGACAGCAGAAGAAAACTCTGCCTTGGCTTAGTTGTTAGAGTAATGTTTGGGGCCGTCTTTGATACGCGGAAGAAGCAGCCAGCAGGTAATATTTAAAGTTGCCACAAGTTCTGATGTTTATGAACCCCAAGTCTGAGAGGAAGGAGCCAGTAGCTCTGTTAAATGATCAAGCGGCTACTTCTCCTGCTTGAGATTCAAGCCGATTTGCCTTGGCGACGACAATAATAGCTTGCTTGCTGGGAGAGGGCGATGCTGCAGATGACTTGAAATGGCCCTGAATGTAGCTCTTATGGACGGGGTAAGGTTGCCCTGAAAGTACCTTTTAACCCAGACTCTAAAGAGCTACTCTCTAGGGGCGCTTAAGCGGAGTGATGAGTTTAGACGAGACCGCCTGCCAGTTCAGAATTTTGGTGGGAGAATCTCGCTAGAGGCTCCGTCAGAAATATGGTCTACAATCGACTTTTCATCCTGTGGTGAGCCGAAGATGGCAGAATTTGCATGTTACTGCATCATGTGCATGATGGAGAATTACCGGGAAAAGCAAAGGGCAGGGAGAAAATAAAGAGACATGAATAGCTTACCGGCAATATGTCAGAATATGTTCATGTGCTGAATGACCAAAGCAAAATGGGGTTTTGGAACTCTGAGCGTTTGAGGAATTCAGATAGTCAAGATGCCGCTGAAGATTGAAGTTGAGGAAGAGTGGGGAACAGTCAAGAAAACGCAGGCGCTGGTTGGCCACAAGATCGGCAGGTACAGCGCCCCACTTAAAATTTCTATTTGCATCTCATGGCAGATTCACTTCTGTTTGACTTTTTTAGAGGATGCTACGCTGCTGAGCACCGAGTGAAATGCCAAGTTGTGTGCATGAATGCATAATCTAGGGCAACCCTCATTGCAAGTACATTTGTTATTTTATATAGTAACACACAGCAAGTAATAATGCAAAAATACATCTGATTCTACTAGATTGTTGACATGATCAAGTTTGGCTCCAAGCAATTACAGCAGTAGCGTTTGAAACGCGGCGGTTCATGTGATGGCAGTTCCTGCCAAACGACCTCCACCGCCTTGAAATCTTGCAGCCGCAGCAGCTGTGCCTAGCAAGGTTAACAGCCTCCAGAAGATTTTTTTTTCTTCCATCCAAGCCATCGCTTTATCCACCAGTTAATGCTTGCCGCCACTACTGCTCCTAGCCAACAACTCTGTTTTCTTCCTTTTCAAGCTCGGGCTTCCCTGCACTAATTAGGCAATGGGGACCGCTGCAACGCCAATTGCGGTATCCCACTCAACTCCTCTCAGGTGCCTTCGTCTTGACCAGCAACTCTTTTAATATCGGGCCAAGCGCCAAAAGCTGCACGTTGCCCTTCGGAACATGTCCTCCCCTGTCAGCCTTGCCCCGATCGCCTCACTGGTTCTGATTCAAACGCAGGAACGTTGATGGTTCGTGGAATTCGGGGCTAGCAGGCGTCGTGCCCCCACGCTTGGAGCTGGAGGAGCTTGGCCCCTCATTTTGCATCTTGCAAATATGCGCTTGTCACAAGAATCCCTTATCCGCCCGGCTTTATTTGGAAAGCACGCATGCTTGAGATCAATGGCGTTCCATTCCTGGGGCACTACGCGGGGTATGATGGGAGGGCAATTAGCGACAGTGGCGCCGTCTCACCAGCTCTACTCATACTCTGAAGACTAGGCATTAGGTGGCACAGAGGAGCACTGCGGAGCTGCAGGCAGTAATATTGCAGACTCCGCTGGCCATCTAGCTAATGGCAATAGTATAGGAAATATGATGCAACGTTTGGTTTTGGTGGTCCTGCCGAGCCCACCGAGATCGTCTGGACTTGACGATCAGGGTCTTGCGCTGATTTGCTTTGCGCATCTCGCGCTTGGTGCTGTTTTCACGAATGGGGGCCACGCACCAGGCCTGACCTTTTAGGCGCTTGGGACGCCGTCCAGCGGCAAATGCTCCGGAGATGCTGTATGCGCACTCGGAGTCCGAATCGCACGCATTCACTAATATTACAGCTCATTATTCTGTTTTGTCAGCCGTGTTAACGTATCTTCGAAACAGGACATTCGTCCTTGATCCTTTTTGGAGGGATTTGGAAAGCTCCTTATGCAAGCAGGCCTGGAAACACCAAGCAGAATTTCATCCTGCGGCAGCCCGGCATCTAATATCCAAAGTAGACCAGGAGCGTGTGATGGCACACAAACCACACAATACATAGTACGGCTTACAAGCACGTGCTTGTTTGCTTCCAAATACGTTTAAGAGCGTCGCTTTTGCTGTCAAGCCTAGCGGACAGCGCGGTACGAAGTATATTTGTAGATTGTGGCGAGGTTGGCCAACGGAGCTGATATGTTACGGTGACACGTTCTCCT